AACAAGAAGGGAAATGTAAATATGGCCACTACAGGAGACTCTTCGGCCCCTCTTTCCCAAACTGATTGGGAATCCATTGCAGTAGCAGCAATGAGAACAAAATTGGAGAGATTTGGATAGCTTATGAGTAAGAAAGATACAATTAGCTCTTGCCTTTCAGATGGATAGCAGAGTGCAGGAGCTAACTTCACCACTTCTTTTGCACATACAGGTAGTTTATATGCAACTGCAAATCTTGCATCCACTTCAGGTGAGGGACCTCCCTAGATTATAGACTTAGGTGCATCTGAGCACATGACTAATGTCCCTACCCTTTTCAGTTCCTATCAATTGTGCTCTGGTAGAGACTGAGTCTCTACAGCAGATGGTTCACATATTCCCTAGACTTCATACCAATCTACTTTTTGTTAGTTCTTTGACAAAAAATTTGAATTGTTCAGTGGCCTTTATTCCTAGTAATTGTGTTTTGCAAGATCTGGAGTCAAAGAAGATGATTGGGAGTGGTCGTGAGGTGAATGGGGTCTACCTTCTGGATGAGATTCCGAGACATCAGAGCCATCATGTTAGCAGTAGCAGTAGTAGTTGGTCAGAGTCAGTGAGCTAGATTATGCTTTGGCACAATCGCTTGGGACATCTTTCTTTTAGTTCATTGAAATTTATTTTCCCAAAGTTATTTGAGTCTGTTCAGTTATATACCTTGGAGTGTGAGAGTTATTAGTTAGGAAAGCATTATAGACATTTTTTTAAACCAAGTAATAAAAGAAGTACTTTTACTTTTAATATTGTTCACGTTGATGTATAGGGGGCATATCATATTCCTTTTATGGGAGGATACCGTTATTTTCTCTTGTTTGTGGATGATTATACACGGTATTCTTGGATATATTTAATGAGATCACGAGATGAGGTTCCTAACTTGGTACAACAATTCCACTAGATGGTTCTCACACAATTTGGAGTGAGAACTAAGGCCTTTAGATCAGATAATGCCAAAGAGTATTTTGAGAAGGACCTTATCACATATTTCTTGGAGCATGGTATAATTCATCAGAGTAATTGTACATATACACTGCAACAGAATGGAGTAGCTGAGAGGAAAAATAGACACATTGTAGAGGTGGCAAGAAGTCTTATGGTGTGTACTTGAGTTCTTGTGCATTTCTGGGGAGATACCGTTCTTACAGCCATGCATTTGATTAACCGTGTTCCTTCACGGACTTTGGGGTTTAAGGTACCATTTAGCTTTCTTTTTCCAGATGGAGAGATATTTCACATACCTCTGAGGGTTTTTAGTTGTGATTCCTTTGTTCACATTCTTGGCCCCCATCGCAAGAAATTGGATCTTAAGGCCAAGAAATGTGTTTTCCTTGGGTATGCTCAGAACCAAAAGGGGTATTGCTATTATGACCCTGTGTTGAGGAGCAGATTTGTCATTATGGATGTTACGTTCTTTGGATCCACCTTCTTCTTGAGTGGTTCTCCTCAAGGGAAGAGTTTTGGGGATGAGAACTTGCAATCTGTTCTTCTTCTTTTTTCTTTTGTGCCTCCATCAGTTTCATTGTTTGAGCCACTACGGGCAGCCTCATAGAAATATCAGCGCCAATAGACGATGGTTGACTCCACACATCCTTAACCCATACCACTCTCTATCAGTCATTCTGAAGCTCTAGATTCAATAGATACAGTTCCAGGTATTCCCCTTGAGCCTGAGCCTATTATGTTTTCTAGTGATAATGTTCCTGTACCTAACACCATTGTTGCAACTGATCCCGCTGACCTTGATCTTCCCATTGCACTTCACAAAGGGAAGAGAAAGTGTACAGCCCATTGCATTTCACACCATCTTTCCTACAGTGCCTTACCACCCTCCTACCGAGCTTTCCTTTCTTCCCTGGATTTTGTGTCTATACCTAGGAATGTTACTGAGGCTCTCTCCAAACCTGAGTGGAAAACAACCATGCAAGAAGAGATGGAAGCCTTGGTTAAAAACCAAACTTGGGAAATAGTTGATCTCCCTCCAGGATAAGAAGACAGTCAGATGTAGATGGGTATTCACTATAAAGTACAGGGCCGATGGAAAGATAGAGAGGTACAAGGCAAGGTTAGTAGCAAAAGGGTATACTTAGATCTATGTTGTTGATTATCTGGAAACCATTGCACCGGTAGCTAAGATGAGTTCTGTTCGTATTCTTTTATCTCTAGCAGCCACCTATTCATGGCCATTGTTTTAGCTTGATGTTAAAAATGCTTTCCTCAATGGTGATTTACAGGAGGAGGTATATATGGACATTCCAGCAGGTTTTTATGAAAATGTTGTTAAAGGAAAGGTGTGCAAACTCAGAAAATCATTGTATGGCCTGAAATAGTCACCTAGGGTTTGGTTTGACAGGTTCAGAGGGGCACTTATCCGTTTTGGGTACACCCAAACCCAGTCTGATCACACCCTCTTTGTAAAGAGGAGAAATGCTCTAGTGTCAATTTTGATTGTATATGTGGATGATATAGTGGTTATAGGAAATCATTTGGAGGAGATTGATGATCTCAAAAAATCATTGCAGCAAGAATTTGAGATCAAAGATCTTGGTGAGCTCAAATACTTCCTAGGGATTGAAGTTGCAAAATCCAAGCATGGGATCTTCATCTCTCAGAGAAAGTATGTACTTGACCTATTGCGGGAGACTGGAAAGCTGGGGACCAAACCAGCAGACATTCCTATTGATCCAAATCATAGAATTAATGTTACGGATGGTGAGCTGGTAAAAGATGTGGGAAGATATCAAAGAATGGTGGGCCGACTGCCATATTTGTGTAAGACACGACCAGATATTTCCTATGTTGTTAGTTTTGCGAGTCAGTACATGCATGCACCTCGGGTTCAGCACTGGGAAGCTATTGAGAGAATACTTGCATATCTAAAAAAGCACCCTGGTGGAGACATTCTTTTCTCAAATCATAAAAATTTGAAGCTAGAAGCAAAGAACAAGCTTGAACATGATCTACGCAAGTTGGGAATGTGTGACATTTACTCCCAACTTGAGGGGGAGTGTTGAAGATTAATCAGTTTTGTGTTGTTTTATGAGTAGATGCTTTATGTTAGTTGTTAGATAGGAGGTGGGGACCACAATAATCATGTGAGTCCAAATTTTATTATGTTTTTGAGTCTCATATGTTGTTTTATGTTATGCCACCCTATAAGGGCATAGTTGTCTTTGTACTACTCTTATATTTTTAGTATAAATAATAAGTGAAGGGGGTGGCCAGATTATTGCTCTCTTTTCTTTTCAAGATCTCTTCTTCTTCTCTCTTAAAGGAACTACTTTTTCTGTTCATATTTTTGAATTCAGCATATTTCTATATATTATATTACATATAATAATTATATAATATATTAATATATATAATTTTATTTTCAATTTTATTATATATTTCATTTTATTATTGCATATATAAACAATTGTATACATCAAAATTCATATAAAATAAAATTTTAAGATCTTTTTTAATTTTTTGTATATATATTTTAATTTATGTTAAAATTTTCATTATTTTTTCAAAAATTGTAAAAAATGTGGCTTGGCCCGTGGCACGGCACGGGCCCACGCGAGCTCAAGCCGTGGGCCGTGCTGGGCTGACCCCCCAAAATATCCCAGGGGAGGGAAGCACGGCCCGACTCGGCTTGCGGGTTGACATGGCACGACCAGCTCTTTGCATGGGCTGCATGCGGGTTGTGCCATGCCGGCCCAACACGGCCCGATTTACACCTCTAGGGAGTAGGTCACCTGAAAGAAAGAAATATAGCTCTTCTTAGTAAATGGCTTTGGAGATTCCCTCGGGAACCACATGCTCTTTGTATTGCTATCATCACTAGCAAGTAAGGGAAGAATGCCAACACCCAACAGTTGGGATAGCAATATTCAGTTGAACCGGGTTAAAGACACCAACCCTTGGAAAGGTATAATCTCAACCTACAATTGTTTCATCTCTTTCATTAGATATAAAGTGGGTAATGGGGATAGGATTAAGTTCTGGGCAGGCTTATGGTGGGGTAACTCTACTATGGCCGATTCCTTCCCTCATCTCTTCAGCCTTACTCAAAACCAAGATGTTCACATCTCCCATGTTTTCTGCACAGTTTTCTGCAAGTAAGGTGCATAGAACTTAGTGAAGTTGCTAGTTTTCTGCACACCCTTAGAGAGGTCTACCTCTCCCCTAACATCTCTGACCTTCGAGTCTGGACCCTTCACCCGACAGGTAAGTTCTCAACCAAGTCTTGCTTCAAGGCTTTAATTTCCGAAGAGCATACACCTGATCAATTCCCCTTCAAGAGAGTTTGGTGTTCCCATATCCCTTCCAGATTTTTTGTGTGTGTGGAAAGCCAGCTTGAGATAAACTTATCAAAAAAAGGCAGCTTGAAGAGAATCAATACTTACGACCTCCTTCAGAAAAAGGACCTTGGAAGATCTTATTTCTCTCCACATGTCTGTTGCTCCTGTTCAAAAGCTGGGGATTCAGCCAACCATATCCTACTTCACTGTGAGGAAACCAGGAAACTTTGGAACTTCTTCTTTACCTTATTTAATTATAGTTGGGTTTTCCCAGAACATGTGGCAGACTTCTTAAGGCAATGGATAGGAAGGGGCTTCAGTAAAAAAGGGAAGACATTGTGGCAATCTGTTGCTCATGCTACTCTTTGGAGTATCTGGGAAGAGAGAAACAACTGTGTATTTAACAACAGATCTAGAAACCACGAGGAGCTCACTTCCATTATCATCCACAGATGCTTCCTTTGGGGTACCAGTTCGTTGTATTTTAAGGGAATCTCTATCTCTGAATAAATGCATTAGTACTATGCTGCTTCTAAGTTTGAGCTCTTTTCATGAGGCAGTATGGATAATGAGAAGTGAACTTGTATGCCATGTTCTTGCTAATTTTCTTTTCATACATTGTGCACCTTTTGCAGTCTGAGATTGGGACTGATTCTGGACTGTGTTCAAGTGCAGGAAAATGGTTATCAGTTACTGTTTCTTAGTGCACGTGCAATTGTTCAGGCCTATCTAACTAGAAGTTTTCTCCTCAATCTGAAACAGGTAATATGGTGCCCTGACTTGTATTTTTATGATTTCCATTTTTGTTCTTGGAGGTTATTTGTACTCATCAAACTCTTCCCGTTCCCCTCCTGGCAATCTGAATACCCTGGCTATAATGACCCAACCTTTGAAATTTTTATGCACAAAGTGGCTGTTCTCAGACTTGAACCTGGGTTCTCAGGCTTATCAGTCCAAGATTTTACCATTAAACCAAGAAATGGCCCCTATTCTACTTAAACTGTTGTGTGCGGCAGATGCTGGGATTTGTTATTTATGAGGGATGGAGTCCTCTGTCTACCAGCCCATTGAGTAATGTATCCATGCTCTGTTTGCATGCTTCCTTACCCTTTTTTTTTGTTAAATCCTAGCTTGCTAGACACACAAGGAGGAATACTTTAGTTAAAGTGTTAAAAGGTCATTACCCAATGGTTGGTCCTGGCTATCTAGGGTCTTGGGAGAGATGGATTGGATAGGGATCCAACCTTTGAAATTTTTATGCACAAAGTGGCTGTTCTCAGACTTAAACCTGGGTTCTCATGCTTCTTATCAGTCCAAGATTTTACCATTAAACCAAGAAATGGCCCATATTGTACTTAAACTGTTGTAGCATTTATTTCTTCTGCAATTTGATTACATGTTTCATGCTGCCAGGATGGAAAAGCTTTACCAAATGGGCCTGTTGTCATTTCACCTGATGGATTATTTCCTTCATTGTATCGAGAAGGTGAGGTGTAGTGACCAAGAGAATAATTTGTTCTTTGTGATTTAAGTTGGACTCCATTTGGTTAGTGTCCAACCTAGCAAAACACATTTTTTTTTATATGAATGAAGAAAATTTATTAATTCAGAAAAGAAAAAAAAAAAAACAGTACAGGAAACACTGAAGAGGCACGAGCTGTTACCTCTTCAGAAAAGTATTACATTAAAATAAAACAGAACTAACCATAAATAAAATTACAAAGCAGCCCAGAATAACTGCTCCCTTGTAGCCCCCTGCTTAGCTAGCCCATCCGCTAAGGTGTTTGCTGATCTTCCCACCCAAAGAGAGTTAACAGTCATATTTCTTGTAAGCCAGTTGATTTTCCTTGATAAATCTCTGTGTTGCCACATGGCTGAAGCTGGGTCTGTCAACCATCCCACAACAATTTGAGAGTCTCCAACTACCAAGTGCTGAACTCCTAATTGTTCTGCAATCTGAATACCTTGTACCGCCGCTAAAATCTCAGCTCTATTAGAGTCTCCTATTCCCACGGGGCCTGAAAACAAGGCTAATATGTTGCTCTCCGTGTCTCTCAGCACCCCTCCTATCCCCGATGGGCCTGGGTTTCTTTGGCTGCTGCCGTCAAAGTTCAGCTTTACCCATTCTTCAGGTGGAGGGGTCCACACTACAGATTCCCTGTCCGTCCTTGTATGGCTGTTAGCCACCGCTATCCAGTTTCTCCAAATATCATCAAAGGAAAAGGTATGAAAGAAGTCCAAAGTTCTCAACCAGTGGATGGCCCTAGTCAAGATACAATCCTCAACAGCCTGAATGCTTCTTTCTTTTTCCTTGAACATCCTTGCATTCCTTTCTTCCCAAATTGTCCACAATGCGGCTGCTTTAATACATCTCCACATCATTTTTCCTTTTTTTGTAGGCCACACAAAAAAGGAAGGATCGAACAGTTGGCTTAAGTCTGTGGACAGATTCCACCTACACCCAAACAAAGAAAAAATCCAACTCCAAATAGCTCTAGAAAAGGAACAAGATACAAGTAGATGGGAGCAATCCTCACCACTAGCCCTGTAAAGTACACGCCAGTTAGGGGATAAACACATGAAGTTTTTTATGGTTATATTTTTAATGTTTCCTGAGAAACATGATAGTTGCAATGAAATTGGTCAAATCTGATTGATTGAACATTGAATATGAACACAGTATCCTGTAGGTTGCTGAAGTAACTAAGCCTGCTTGGTGAAAGATATTTTGATTACAATTGTTCCATGCATCTTGAGAAACTGCTCTAAAGAGAGGGAAAAGAAAAAATGTGAATTAGATCCTTGCCCTCCAGAATGAACATTTTCATTCTGATGGCATCCAAGATTGTTTATTTCTTTGGAGGACCCTTATGGCCAAAAGTAGGGTTGAGAGTGAGGCCTATTTGGGGGCTATGTTCTCCCTGGGTGCTTTTTTTTTCCTGGTATTTTTTGGCCCTCTTTGAGATCCACCTTCTCTTTTGGTCTAGCCCCTTCATTTGGGGTTTTGATGATGATATCTTCTTATCTATTCATAATAATTCTAAATTATGAAAAAAGATTATGACATAGATATAAAGTATACTACTTCAAGCATTGCCTTCTTTTTCACCGCTTCTAAGTTTGGTTTTCTTGTGGTGAAATTGCAAATGTCTTTATTTTTACTTTAACCAATGAACAGTGTGTGTTGAATATACAGGTTACACTATATCATGTTCAGAAACTTGATGAAATGAATCTGAAACTAATGCTTCATCTGAGAAGGGCCATATCCCAAAGCATCAGTGTCAGTGACTTTAACTGATATCAGATTTAAATGGAATCTATCCCTACCTCCAGATGAAGCTATTAATTTGTGCCTTTGGTGTGGCTGTATGTATTTCTATACCAGCTTAATTTGCTTCTGTATTTGGCATTTACTTTTTCTTATTGATGACAGTGATAAGAAGAGCACCTCATGAGTTCAAGATTGCATGTTTAGAGGTAATTATCGTAACTGGTCAATAAACTTGTCTATAGATGGAATAAAATTAATCTTGTTATGTCTTACTGGTTGATTGAGCTGAGCAGGACATTTTTTACCTCAGATTGAATATCAAATTCCCCCTCCCCCCCCCCCCCTCTCCAAGTTTGGTTGGCAAAAAAAGAATCATTTTGACCTTTTCTTCTACAGTTTCAAGTCTCTTTTTTCTTTTGACAGGACATAAGAGCCCTCTTTCCAGCTGATTACAATCCATTCTATGCGGGCTTTGGCAATAGAGATACTGATGAACTAAGTTATAGGAAGATTGGGATCCCAAAAGGGAAAATATTTATCATTAACCCTAAGGTTCATTATCTTTTCTTTCCTATATATATATATATATATATGTGTGTGTGTGTGTGTGTGTGTGTGTGTGTGATAGGGAACATTTTCCAACTAAAGTTTCTAGAAAATGGCAGGGTGAAGTGGCCATTAATCACTGCATTGACGTGAAGTCTTACACCTCATTACACACATTGGTCAATGACATGTTCCCACCCACTTCGTTGGTTGAGCAGGTAATATCTTATTATGAAGTAGGAGAACAATCAATCAGCTTATAGTTTTACTGCTTATAATTAATTTATTTAATTGATATTCTGATCGTGATGTCCAAGATATTCAAATATTTGCAGGAAGATTTCAATTCATGGAATTATTGGAAAATGCCTTTGCCAAATATTGACTGATGACTTTACTGACATAAAAGACTGCCAATGGTTCCTTCCATAACAGGGCTATTAGATGAACTTGGTTATCCCAAAAGTTGTTTTCATGGTCAGTGAATTTGTTCATGTTCATCTTTCCCTGCAAGAATTAATATGAGCTTCTTAGTTTCTGATGTCATAATCTGTAAGTTATTGATCCTCTTTAAAAGCTTTGGATGTACGTGTTGTCAAGGCTTATTATGGAATAAAGGCATTTTTCCCTTTTTTATGGTTGAGAACCCACCGTCTTTTTCTTCACATCATTGCAACTCTCTCTCTCTCTCTCTCTCTCTCTCTTGGAAAAGCCACAGATGCAATCAGTGGGAATGGGATGAAGAATGGAAGATTCATTTATTCTGGCAGGTTAGTCTAGAATACTTCTGTTGTCATCAATGCACTTTAAACCATTAGGCATAACATAAGGAGCTTGGATCACAAACATCTCGTCCCTTGTTAAGAATTTCTTTCCTCACAATTGTTACTTCTTTTATTCTGTTAGTGGTTCTTTTCATCAGATTCTTTAAGACTTCCCAATTAAACAGGATAGCTTGGAAGCTTCAATGGTTCACTGTCAAGAAGAATGAAGTAATTTGAAAGCTTGGATGGTTGATCCCTTTCCTCTGGTGGAAGCATTCCCTGCATTGCTCATGATCCTTATTCCATTCTAGACCTAGTAATTAGCTCGGGAGAATAGCTCTGCAGCACGGGACTACATAGCCTGCAATTGTACCATATGCTTTATGTCCAGTGACATGATGGTTCAAAGGATCAGGTTTCCTCATTGGACAGGTGCCAATTTGACAGTGCTTGAAAAATCAGCATCTTCAGATTACTGCGGAGCTTTCTCACATATTCATCCTTGGAATTTTCTTAGAGTTGTCATTACCAATCCATGGTGTAACTACAGTTCATTGAATCTATGGCATAGTACAGGTACAACACGCACCTAATAAAGGATTACATTCTTTTGGAGCTTAGTTTCATATTTGTCGCTTTCTTTTTTTATTTTTATTATTTATTTCGGGTGGGGGACTATTTTATTTATTAGGCTTGGTGGTGTATACAAGTCCAGAAGAATACCCTAGCCTTGATACAAATAAAATAAAAGGAAAAAAAAATTACCACTTAAAAATGTCAAATCCTTTGTGAAGAGTTATTTTTTAGTAATTAGATTACTTTAAGACTAGGTTTCCAAATAATAATGCCATTTTTTGGGTAAACATTAGTAAGTCGGTTTGATTACCAAAGATGGTAATTAAAATATCGCTGTTGACCTGGAGTGGGTTAAATACTAAATGTGAACCCTCTATAGGTCAATCATATTGGACGTGAAACGTGATAGAATAGAACTATGGCATTCAGCCCCATCTGTATTACCTGAGCAAATTGCAGTTGACCAAGTCTGAGATCAGGGGCAATGGATCTATCATGGTTATAGAAAATGCTCAATTATTGATGGAATGGAATACTTTATGTTAAACTTCAAATATTTTAACATAATCTGTTTTTTTTTTTTAAATTCTAGATCCATGTTCTTCACAGTAATAAGATTCCTAAGCCTCTGACTTCGGCTGTTGGCGGCCAACGAGAGAATTTTTAGGCTGGGCACGTTCACTTATTCATGCCCATGCCTTTTTTTTCTCAAAATAAAATAGAGGGCAATTACTCTTCCCAAAGACTCTCATGTCTCAACAGCATAGGCTGTTGGCCGCCAACAGCCAAAGTTTTTCCACGTACTAGGAATTAGAATACGGGTCTATACTAACTTGTTTTATACGTGTTCATGCAAGGTCTTGCATACCAGTAACACTTAGCAATCACACAATCACATGACTCAAGTATAGAATAGAGACCTGAAGCTGATTGGTTGAACACGCTTTTGCGTGATGGACTCGAGGGGTCAGGCGGTTCACCTTACTGCCTAGGCTTTGTTTCCTTCCGTCATTCCTCATTACCCCAAAAAAACAAGTTAAGCAGCAGTAGCATAATGGCGGACTTGCATGCTGAGTAGAGATTACTTTTTTTTTTTCTTATATTTGTTTTTCTTGCAATTAATTTCAAAATAAATCAAGCCTCACTGCCTCATTTTTTTCTATTTAAGTGGCAGAAATAATTGTTGAAACATTTCAGTCTGAAAAACTTGTGCAAAGCCTTTATCTTTAACAAAATATAATCTGCATGACGATATCTGATATATTTAAATAAATCCACATATAAGATATGCTTTTCGTTCCAAAATTCAGATGAAAAATAGTATTACAGATATTTTAATGGATTTTTTCCTCCTGGAACCAAAATATGTTTATGATCTTTTTGGCATTTTTTCCCTCTCCAATGCTTCTCCTTTCCACCACGAAATCATGATGCGCTTCATACTTACGGTTAGGGAAAGAACTACTATTACTACTACAAGTACCAATTTTATTCTGGGTGAAGGCAAACAAGCCAAGTGGAAACATTCCATCCTGTTTATAGATTGAGTTATTTGAGCTCAGAGAAGATATCCCTACAGATATTCCACAAAAGCATATATGGACAAAGGAATTTGGAGCCAAAAAAGGAAGGAATTAAGCCAAAGCAAACATCTCAAAGCTTTCTAACCACGTCGGTAGAACCAAACAAATAGAATAAAATGGCAATGTGATGGGGTCTAGTCTGTAGTTCAATAATTGAATTCATTCTGGACCAACCAATGGAGTCATGGGTTCAATTCCAGGCTTCCAGCTTATATAAGATCAATAAAGAGTAGAAAGGTAAATGGTGAAAGTACTTGAGCAGTTATGATCACGCTTATTCTGCATTGATGTACAATTTAGTCGGCACCACCTCGGTTGAAATTAAAGACATCAAAGATTATTGCAAACCGCCTTGGTAAAATCTGTTGTTGACGAAGTGCCTCCAAGGTCGACTGTTCGATATTTCCCATCAGCTATGGTTTTGAGGATGGCGTCATGGATTTGATCTGCTTTGTCATGCAGTTCCAAATGGCGTAGCATTGCCACGGAACTCAACAGAAGAGCCGTCGGGTTTGCAAGGTTCTGAAATAATTGCAATGCAGGTTTAGAATATATATTTCTAACCAGAAAACTGTGTATTCCTACTTAATAAAACACGTTTACTCGTTGAACAGGTTCATCTATTATAAAGCATTTCTTAATGCATGTGGAGTCGGCATGCACAGACATGATGGGCCAATTAAGGCATTCAATGTAAACATGCATTTGAAGGTAAGTTAATGGGTTGTACGATAAGTAGGAATAGATGACAGCAAACAGAAGTGCAGGAAGCATGCAGAAATAACTACATATAAAATAACCATTTAACTATATACATTTCAAATACTGAAACTATTAACAGATAGGATGTAAACACTCTTAAATAATAGTCTCGAGTTTTGTGAACTGCACACAAGGTAAGAACAAATAACGATGGTAAGATTCTCTCAGTGTGGGCTTTCCATCATTCTTTGCTTTGGCCATAGTTTTTAAGGTGCCAAGGTTAGGCTAGGCAACAGGGGGCCCCTTGTCGCCTAGGCGATGGATTTTTTTTAAGCAAAACCATATATCCTAGGCTAGCTCCCTAGGTTCCATAACCATCTTACCTTAATAATTATCCATGATTTTCACAAGAAAAGTATAAATTTCATGTTTTAAGTTTAGAAAATCAACATTTTATGAGAAGAAAAGGAACAAAGGAAAGAAAGTTCAAAAAAATATATATACGGACCTCTACTTTTGTTATAGAAAAAGAAGAAAAGGAAAGGTGGAAGAAGATCTGTAAAAAGAAAATGTGTTGCTTAGACAAAAATTTTAAGTTCTTTCCTTAATTATTGGTTCAGGTTCCGAAATCTTTGAGGATTCAATCAAGGATCAAAACTTTGATACAATATGCCCCGTATCGGGTGTATTGTATTGTATTGTATCTTTGGCGCCCCAATATACATGTTTACACTTGTTTTCGGGAACCCATTTTTTAAAATAATATATATATATTTAAAAATGAAATTGAAAACCAAAGAAATAAAAAAAATAGGGAGAGTATCGTTATAAGTACTAATACACCTCCGCCGATACACAGAGGTGTATCGATACTTTGAACCATGGGTTCAATACAGCAGTTAGCAATGTTTGTGTTGATTAAACCCTAACAAATAAGAAAATAATAAAAAGAAATTATTACATAAACACATAAAATGAGTATTCTAGTTTAATAATGCCTATTTTATAATTATAATGTCAAAATATTAAAAAAATAAAAGTATTTTATAACATAGTGCATAAAACTACTTGGCGACTAGGCGAGGCGAGCCTCCAAGGGCGCTTTGTCGCCTTGACAACTATGGCTTTGGCTTTCAACAAGGAAGCACAAGTCTGTGACTATTTCGGTTTTTCTTCCAACCAGCCTATTTGGGTGCCGAGACTTAGAAGAAGAGCAAATGATTGGGAAGTGGAGTCCCTCGTTGGTTTGTTGCAAGCTTTGGACAAAGTTCAACTTCAACCCCTAGGTGTGGACAAAATCTGGTGGATCAAAGAAGTTTCTGGTATTTTTACAGTGAATTTGATGTTGAAGTCCTTACTTTCTACTGATGACCCTATCCCCCCTTAGATTTGGTTTTGGAAGACAGCCATTCCTTTGAAGGTTTTCTTTGTTTGCGTAGCTATCAAGGGTAAGATTCCCACTATAGATGTGTTGAGGAAAAAGGGTATGATCCTTGTGAATCAATGTTGCTTAAGTGAGGATGAGGAAACTGTCAATCATCTCCTCCTCCTCTGCAGCTACTCTCACAGGGCTTGTGTTCATGTTTTAAATCTGCTTGGTATGGACTGGATCACCCCTCCAGACCTGCCTCCCTTCTGGCTCAGTGGCATGGTCAGGCTTTCTCTAAGAGGGGTAAGGTGCTGTGGAAAGTCTCACCAATATTGTAAAAGGCATGGGAGGCATATGCCTGGAGGGGCGCCTCCAAGCGAAGCTCCCCCAAAATGCCCTGAGGCATATGCCAAAGACGTTGACACCTCTGAGACATACGCCTCATATGATTTTTTCATGAGGCGTGCTAGAGGCGTACACCTCATGTGCCTCTTGCACACCCCATGTAAAAAGATAGAAAAAACAAAGAAAAAAGAAAAAAGGAAAGGAAAGAAAGGGAAGGGAAAGAAAAGAAAAGGAAAAGGAAGGAAATAAAAGATAAGGGGAAAGATAAGGGGCTGGGGACTAAGCCCTCGGACACCTTTGGCTGGGGGGGCTTCGCCCACCCCCCCCCCTTTACCTAGTGATATGCATATTTATTCTTCTTAATATAAAATATTTTATTCAAAATAAAGAAAAATGAGATCCTTCATCCTCTTCTCCTTCCTCATCCCCCCCCCCTTCAACTAATGTTATGCATCTTTATTCTTCTTAATATAAAAGATTTTTATTAAAAATAAAGAAAAAATAAGATCCCCTCCTCTTCATCCTTGTGTTCGGGAGGTTTATGCCTCTTGCGTTCTGAACTACGCCTCTAGGTAGTGGAACGCCTCGCTTCACGCCTCCGCGTTTTAAAACATTGGCCTCACCTTTGGTGGTTTGTTGGTGCCTATGGAGAGTGGAATAACCACTCATTTGAAGACAAGGCTAGTCCCCCTGAGAAAGTGTGTGCAGCTGTCGGAAAAACTTTGGTGAAATGGTAACAATCTTTTCAGGAGTTTCCACTTTAAGCACTTTGTTGATCATTGGAAACCTATCTTATGGGATGAGGATTTTGCGTTGTAATCTGTAGCCTGCTGGCTTTTCTGTATTTGGCTGCTGAGGAAATCTCTCCCTCAGTAGCCTTATCTTTCTTTGTTTTAATAATATTCACCATTTCTCAAAAAAAAAAAAAGCTGAACATGTGCTAGTCCAAATACTTAGGAGGATGTCAGAATTTAACGCAATTCATCTTTCATGTATAAATTTAACGCAATTCATTGAGATTTGGGACTTGTAATTTGTTGAAATTTCATCCAAACCCTGCACCCACCATTTGCCCTAATTGTCATCCCTAAACCTTTTCTAAACAAAATGACGTCCGGACAGCCCTGACGCTAACCCATCTCTAGCCACATATAGTTTCTTTGTTACTTACCGAAAAGAAAATTATTTTTATTAACTACTGAAAAAGAAAGTATTTTCAAAAATATAGGAAATAGTACAAAGCCTCTGCATTAAAAAAAAAAAAAACTAGGTAAGTATCTCTCACCATATAAGGTCATTCCCAATCTAGTTAAACCCTCAGCCACAATTCAAACTCTAGGGATCTGAAACAGAATAGGTGCCCTGGAATCATTCAAATTTTATTGAGAAAGTGACCAGTCTTCAAGGGCCCCACTCAGCACTTTGGCTCCACCTTGTTGCATTTGCCTGGTTGCCTTCAATGGCTAAGGACATGCAAATCTGCTGCTTGGAAATATAGGTTGCCTTAACATAAGAAAGCAAGTCAATCCTTTGGCTCAGTTTGAGAAGAGTGCAAATACAAATATGTACAATGCAAAACCTTGTAACGTTGTATTTGCACTCTTCCCTAACGGAGCCATTGTTTCAATCTGTTAGTGGTGTTAGTGAAGGGGTATTTCAGTCTTTGTACTTGTTGAGAATGCTGATGTGTACTGTTATGTTAGTTCGAGTGCCTCTTACTTAAAGAAGGGCACTCARGTCTTTTYCAATAAGTCAATAATATAATAATAGGTCTGGCCGAATCAAGGGATTAACTTTTTTCCCTAATTCGAACCAGCCTTTCTCTCTTTTCTCTCTTCTCTCTTTTCTTCTTTCCTCTCCTACTTCTTGCTGTCTACTTTACTCTACAGTCAACGAACAAGACAGAATTCTATGGCAGGTCAAACTTCAACACAATCCATGTCTCCCATTGGGCCAAAACACATTATTATTCCCCTTGAGGAACAGCTCTCCTATTCCAGATGTCTTGAGGTTCCTAAGAGAGTTACCATCAAATTGTAATTTTTTTATAGTACCATCAAGTCAAATTTGACCTTCCCACTGATTGCAAGGGGAGAAGTCCTATTGGGACTTGGGAGAACCACCTTGGGAAGGAAGACTAAAGAATCTCTAGATAAGTATCTTCTGAGATCATTTTTCATACTCCTGAGAACTCTTCTATAACCAAAACCAAGGACTCACGTTGGGAAGAAACATAGTACTCAAGGATTCAAATGAAGCCTTCTTGTTTCTTGAATATGTTTATTTCTTTCTTTCTTTTTTTTTTGATGAATAATGAGTAAATTTATTAATAGATTAAGAGAGAAAGTTCCCAAGTTGAGGCACGAGATGCAGCCTCAGATTAAAGCAAAGAATTATAGTTTAGCCCAAAACATCTGATTCCTATGCATCCCTTCTTTAGCTAGTGAATCTGCTAACCCATTTGCTGATCTTCTTTCCCATTGGAATTGGACTGACATGTTTGTAGTTAGCCATTTGAATCTTCGTAAAGTCCCTTTATAGGACCAGGCTGCTATTTCTGGTTCTTTTAACCACTGGATCACCAACTTGGAATTACCTTCAATTAACAAACTATTCACAATTCAGTTCCTTAGAAAATTCAGCTCCTTGTAACACTGCTTGAATTTCTGCATTGACTGAGTCCCCTACTCCTATAGGGCCAGAATATAAAGCAATAATTAGCCCCTCTTTATTTCTAAACACTCCCCCAACACCAGAAGGGCCCGGATTGCCTAAACTGCTGCCATCAAAGTTGAGCTTAATGACACCCTCTTGAGGAGGTTTCCATTCTGCTGACGGTTTAGGTCTCGTACTAGAACTTTTGGCAACCACTTCCCAATTTCTCCATAAATCACCAAAGGAGAATGGAGAAAATAGTTCCAAGGTCTTTACCCAATAAATTGCTCTATTAATTAAGCAATCTCATACAATGATCCTGTTCCTCTCCTTCTCATCAAAGATCCTAGCATTTCTTTCTTCCCAAACAGTCCAAACCAGTGCATCTAGCACACCTCCACAAGACCCTACCTCTTTTCTTAGGCCACCTGAAGGTTGTAGGCTCAAATAGATTGCTAACCTACGTTGGCATTGTCCACTTGCATCCAAAGAGACAAAAGCTTTTCCCTGAGACCTACAACAAAGGGACAGGATATTAGTAAATGATAACAACTTTCTCCACTTTCTTTGCAGAGGACACACCAATTGGGGGAAATACTGAGACAAGGTCTTCTTCTTTGTAGGTTGTCTAAGGTGTTTTGTTTTTCAAGTGAGGCCTCCCAACAAGGGGCTCCCACTTTAGGGGGAACAGGTTTAGACCGTACCTCTTTACAAGGGAAAGGCTGGAGCTAAGGACAGAGCATAAGGAAGAGAAAAAGGAGGTGCAAGAGAATGTGCCCGAAGGATTAGGGGACCAAATACAAGCATCCGATTTAGAAGGGTCCAGACAGATAGGATCAAGCAAGCAAAGTAACTGTGTTGTCTGGTCAAGCTTAGAATCTCTTAAATCTCTCCTGAAACCCAAATTCCAACTGAAGCCAGATAACAAAGAGAATGAGACAAATCTTTGAACTGGTTCGTTTTTAAAGTGAGAGAGGGAATACAAAGGCAAAAAAAGGTCCTTGAGGGTTGAATTTCCAATCCATAAGTCCTCCCAAAAAAGAACCCTATCCCCAGTGCATACATCAAACCTGATTAAGTTTAAAAATTGTGGAAGAACGCCATAGATTGCCCTCCAAGGATAGTTTAATGTAGCCTTCCGAAAAATTCCAGCATCCCAACCATTGCCTTTTGCTCCATGAATATTCTCTACAACTTTGTGCCAAAGTCTTTCCTCCTCTGAAGCCATTTACCCAAAAGGGCTGAGATTTTCTTCCCTTGGTTACCCAATCCCAAACCCCCTTGCTCCTTTTTCTTGCATACTAATTCCCATCTTACCAAATGATCCTTCCTTCCCTCTCCAGGCTCCCACAAAAAGTCCCTCATTAGTTTCTTTACTTTTATTACCTCCCTTTGCAGCATCCTAAATACGGAAAGGAAGTAAATTGGGAGATTTGCTAAGGTGGATTGAATTAAAGTAATTCGACCCCCCAAGGTCACATAATTTCTTTTCCAGGCCACCAGTTTCTTAGCACACCTTTCCACCACGGGATTCCAAAAGCTTCCCTCCCTAGGATTGTCTCCTAATGGTAACCCCAGTTTATTTATTTCTTGTGCAGCCTACATCATAACATTAGTAATTGCTATTTCTAAGTCCTAAAAGCCTAAAACAGGTCCACAAAGCTGTCTCCTTGTATAAAAGCTTTGCCTAAGTGATAATAACAATCTAAACTTCCAATCTTCTCTAATTTAAAAAATGTCCCTAAAGAAGAGCTTATTTTAGATGCATAGCAAGCCTTTCCAGGTTGAAGCTTATCCAATCAGCCTATGTTTAGTTTCTCCACCATACTATTTTCTAATAAACTCACAGCCTGTTCATGTTTTGTTTGCCCATCTATGTGTTTGTGTTTGTGTGTGTGTGTGTGTGTGTGTGTGTGTGTGTGTGTGTGTGTGTGTGTGTGAGAGAGAGAGAGAGAGAGAGAGAGAGAGATCCAAAATATCCTTACTCTCCTAAATCGCTAAACTTGACCAAGGATCATTTTGAGTCCTTATGGTTTGAGTCTTGAATAAGAGAGATATTTAGTATGTAGAAGTGAGCCCTTCCCATGGCATAGTTGAGAAATAAGCAAGTCAAGAAGTATGACCCACAGCACCACACAATATGAAGCCATGCAAATGTGTCTAATTCTGTGCAACTATATATCTAATGGAGAATCATATATTTATAGATATAATGTGTATGTATGAATTATGAAAGTATCAATATAAGAGAGAGAGAGAGAGAGAGTTCATGGCTGACCTTCCCAGCTATATCAGGTGCTGAACCATGCACAGCCTCTGCCAGAGCAATGCCCCCTTCACCAATATTACAGCTGTACAAGGTGTGGTGGATGAGAAGTTATGTGGAATTATACATCCTGTAGAAATAATTGAGGAAAGATTGATACCTTGGAGTCAAACCCAACCCCCCAATCAAACCAGCACAGAGGTCACTGATGATATCTCCATAGAGATTAGGCATCACTAGTACATCAAAGAGTGTCGGATTTTTAACAAGCTGTTAAGAAGTGAGCCACAACATAAGTAGCAACAGTAATAAAGCAAACCATTGATTTCTTAATAAATGAATAATGATATCATGAAAGCAAACCATTGATTTCGTGATATGAATTATATGATAGCATTAGTGTAAAAGAAAATCAATTGAAAAAACTAGACATTATTGGAATTGTTTGACTGAAATTTCCTTGCTGTACAGTTAGTATTCCTTATTGAAGTGTTATTCATATGTGCTAAATTGGGACAAATGGATGGCCTGTAGTGCAGCATATGGCTCCATACCACACATATAACATGCCTGACCCCCAATACATGTAAAATATGTGGCATTAGCAAAGTGCAGGCAATACCATCATACAACAATTGTCTATGATGACCTCCTCATAGGTTATCTCAGGGTACTTTTCTGCAACCTCACGGCAACACTGGAAATAAAGAATGACCAAATGCATAAGTACAAAGGAAATAAAACAAATAGGAAAGGTTCATCACTTGAATTTTGAGATTGTGAATCAATAGACCTTGAGAAAAAGACCATCAGTCTTCCTCATGATGTTTGCTTTGTGTATAGCAGACACCTTCTGTCTTCCATGGGTCTTGGCATAGTGAAAAGCATATTCAGCCACCCGCAGACTTGCTTGGCGGGTAATGATCTTGAGACTCTCAACTACACCCCTTACCACCTATCACCATAGAAAAATTCATATTGCTTAGTAAAAGTTCATGGAATCAATTTAGAAACAAAAAAGGAATATAAAAAGGGAACAAACTGATATATACTTACTTGATGCTCCAGGCCACTATATTCTCCTTCAGTATTTTCCCGAATTGTGACAAGATTGACATCATCATATCGAGTTCTATAGCCAGGGAGACTGTAGCAAGGTCTGACATTGGCATAAAGACCAAGTTCTTTCCTTAGAGTAAGGTTCAAAGACCTGTGTCCTTTCCCAATTGGTGTAGCCATTGGCCCTTTCAGTCCAACTCTATTTCTACGAACTGATTCCAAACTCTCCCATGTCAGAAAACTCTCTGTTCTGGGGTCCACTTTGTCCCCCACAAAGTGTTCTTCCCATTCTATAGGCACTTCAGCTGCATTGAATACCTGCATTCACTCAATCAGATTGAATCTTAAACCATAAGCATCTAAGAGGAGAGCAATCAATATGAGATTGGTTTTATTTAAGGTCAAGCAATTCAAAAGAACCCACGAGGTTGTCAGTGGATTCATTTTGGATGAACCAGTAGATGGACCATATTCAAACATGTCTGAACATAAAAGGGTGGACTCTAGGTTAGATTCTACATGTCTGATAGGGTTTGAGAACCTGGGGATATATGGACTATAAGCTGTTTGGATTTTTATTTCCACCAAGGTCATTCTGTTTGTGCTACTAAGCTGCATGCAAGTTCTTAAATAGTCTTTGTCCTCTTTCAGGAAAGCATTCTGACTAGTGGATAAGCCTGATCAATATATACTTGAAGAAAAGATATCTAAAGTTGATTCAACAAAAAGTAGATCTCATCCATACATTAAGGTGAGTTTCAGATCTTCAAACTTGATCAACTCGAGCATCTGCATAGAAATCTAATTTTTTTCGTCGTTTGCATAAAATTCTTAATTATTACTGGGGCAATGCAGTTCAACCTAAGATTCATAAAATGTTGCAAGGCTCAACTTGAGGACCAGAGATTCATCAATATAGCTATTAGCTGTAATCACTGATAAGAATACACAAGTACTTCAATAAATGATTTATTTCAGGAATGCAAACTAAGAGTGTTGTTACTTATTTGTTGATAACCATCAATGAGAAGCACATGCAAGCTGTGGTGCAGAAGTGATACAACCACAGTCAATCTCTAGTGGATCTAGAAGTGCAGCTCCTTGCCCATCGTCATGGCCCTGGCAACAACTTACCTACCAATTTAGTCCCAGGCCATCGTGAAACCCTTTTTACCACTATCAGAAATTCTGTAACTTCATGGGGCCTACTTAACGCGTTTGACCATATAAATGATGCTCCATCAATGAATTGTTCTCAAGTCTTAATGAATCAGATGCCTTTAGACCTATAACTTTAATCCTATTGGATTTTTCCAGATCAATACCCTAAACCTATCGCCAGTATCATTTCTAATCAACTTTTCTGTGTCCCGACTACCGATAACAGTTGAACACAAGAACTGTTTTAAGAACACGGTGAAATCGAAGAAATAACACCTGATTATGATCGTAGTAAATAAGCAAATAGCATTCATGATAGGATATGGCTGAATTTTGTAAAACTTAAACACAACCGGACACAAATAGAATGCAAGTATAGAATGATAGAATTATGAAGAATCAAAATGAACAGATGCAAGTCAGAACAAAAGGCGGGAAAATAAACAAAAAGACCAGTGGAGGCGCCGAGGGGAACCAACCTGCTTTACGGAATCGGCAATTTCAGGCCCGATACCGTCGCCAGGAAACAGAGTCGCTCGGATCGGCTGAGTGGATGAAGCGGAGGTTGAAATAGTCCGAACAGGAGACGAGATAAACCCAATGGAATTAGGGCTTTCGATCAACGCAGTTGAAATCTGTTCAACTGAACGGCTACGAAGAACGCGTCTGAGGATTTGAGACGCCATGGGGGGAGGGAGGATAGGGGAAGCAAATACCAGCGAGGCAGCGATAGTTTATAGTGGCCGGACATTAAAAATAAAACATAGAGGAGACGCCTCTACTAAAAACAAGCTTGACATACATTCAAAGCCGGATGGATGAACCGGGCTGACCTTGTACAGTAGGCCCGGTAGGGTATCAACGTTTTATTTGGGGGGAAGGGAGGGGGGGGGGGTAAACTCACAAAAATTGCATAGTTCGTTAGTTAATTGTATGATGTGATGATACGTGCCATTTAAAACTTTTGAAAATATTAAAATTACTCTTTGAAATAAGATATTGTTCATCATCTTCTTCCTCGATAATCAAAAGATAGTTAAAGCTGAGCTGAATAAATTGGTCGATACCATCAAGTTTGGGCATTTGGATGGTTGATAAAGAAAATTAGATGACACCCAACAGGTATTTGCATCATTTCACATGCCACTTAACAACCGTTAACAATTTTGGACTAAACCGAGAGGTTTTGGAAGTTCAAATACTAGATTGGCATATTTTAAAATTCGGGTACCAATGTACAGGGTATTAATATGCAACTTACATTTTTTTACAAGAGAGAAATTACAACAATTGTGAAAAGGAACACAATAGAGTGCTCGCCGCTATAATATAATAGGCATTTGGCACCAAAGCATTCCATTATAGCTGATGTGGCATGAATCGATAAGAAAATTGCATTTGGTAACTCTTTTATAAAAAAAAAACACAAAAAAAAAACATTATTACAATGATCAACTCCAGGATTTAAGAAAGCGGCATTTCTTGAATCGTTAAATTGACGTTTCTTGAATTGCATTGGTAATCTTGAATCACAAATGTGATGTGGCACATTGAAAAAAAAAATTGACTTCATTTTTAAGATGTCATGTGGTTGTCATTATAAGTATATTATAATAATAAGCCAAATCACTTTAAATGCCCAACCAACTTTCATCTATACTAAATATGATTAAAAAACAGGTGGAAGGAAATAATTGTGAAGTGAAACGCTTGTGCAACACTACAATTCCAATTGCCAAACACCCACATAATTAAACTCCTAGTCATCTAAAGGCATGGCTTAAAACTTTGTTGTGTCGTTTGCCAACCAGTCTGCTACTTGGTTTATTTCTTAATTATTATAAATATGCTGAGAGCTTTTATTGCAATCTTGTGATCACATTCCACTGTTATCTTGCTTGCTTCCAACAGCCCAATTGATTTATGAGCCTTAAGAGTGGCTCTCATTTCTTCTACAATGTAGGTATGTATTATGATTCGGCTTGCCCTTGATTCCTATTAGACTGATAACAATAGAGTAAAGGATAAGAAAGAAGAAAGAAAGGGAGAGAGAGAAAGATTACCTCTCCCATTCGGTCATATAAGTTTTATATTACTAACATAGTGGAAAAGACATATGTGTCCCTACTTAAGTGAGGGACACTAGTTTTAACATAATCTTACACATCAACAACCTCAACATAAGCATAAAGATAGAAATACCCCTACATACTCGACACTAACACTCCCCCTCAAGTTGGTGAATATATATTGCATAATCCTAGCTTGTTTCATATGTAGTCCACTCTCCCCCGACCCAACCCTCTAGTAAATAAGTCTGCCCACTGGTTCCCTGTGTTAACATATGTAGTGTCTATCACTCCACCCAATACATTCTCTCTCACAAAGTGACAGTCAACCTCTATGTGCTTGGTCCTCTCATGAAACACCGGATTAAAAGAAATATGAACTACAGCCTAATTGTCACAGTAAAGCTTCATGGAGTGTTAACAGTGTATCCCATCTCCTGCAGAAGGTTTCTTAGCCACACTAATTCACAAGTAGTATGCGTCATAGCTCTATATTCTGCCTCTGCACTGCTTCTCACCACAATTGTCAGCTTCTTACTTTTCCATGTCACCAAATTACCCCCCAAAAAAGTGCAATAGCCTATGGTAGATCTCCTATCAGACATAGAACCGACCCAATCAGCATCAGTATATCCTTTTATTTCAAGTTTTCCACCACTTTTGTATATCAAACCACGACAAGGAGCCCCTTTAAATACCTCACAATTTTTATAGCCGCATCCCAATGTGGAACTAGGGGTTTCTGCATGAACTGACTTACCACACTAACCGCAAATGAAATGTCTGGCCGAGTAATGGTTAGGTAGTTCAGTTTACTTACAAGTCATCGGTATCTGCTAGGGTCTTCAAACATTTCACCCATATCACTGCTCAACTTAGTGTTTGTTTCCATAGGTGTTTCAGTCGGTTTAGCACCTAACAAACTTGTTTCTTCCATCAAATCAATAACATATTTCCTCTGACACAAGTTAATACCATGCTTAGACCTTGCTACTTTTATCCGCAAGAAATATTTCAATTTACCAAGGTCCTTTGTCTGAAAATGTTCCTGCAGAAAAAGTCTTCAGCCTATCAATGCCCATTTTATCATTCCCGGTAATAACAATATCATCTACATACATAGGATCTTTCTTGCCTGAGAGTCATGTCTGAAGATTGAATGGTCAACTTGGCACTGTTTCATACCAAACTTCTTTACCACCTCATTGAACCTACCAAATCATGCTCGATGAGACTATTTAAGCCCATAAATGGCCTTCTTTAGTCTGCATACCTTACCATCCTCCCCCTGAGCAACAAACCCYRRTGGTTGCTCCATATAGACCTCCTCGAGCAAATCACCATGCAAGAAAGCATTATTGATATCAAGTTGATAGAGGGGCCAATCAGTCGTTCTACACTACCATCAGGTAAGTACTTAACAGTATAAACCCACTTACAACTGATAGCCTACTTACTAGGAGGAAGAGTGATGAGGTCCCAAGTATGATTATGAGTTAGAGCTGAGAGTTATTCCATTGCACGACACCATCCTAGAGAGGTAAGGGCCTCATAGACATCATTAGGAACAACAACAGAGGATAACAAGGAGATAAACTGGCGATGGGAAGCAGAAAGGTGAGTGAGATAAACATAATTAGAAATAAGATGAAGGGTACAAGTGCGTTTACCTTTATGTGAGGCAATGGGAAGATCAATATTAGATATCAGGGGTGGGGCTGGTGTGGGGACAATTGTTGAATCTATTGACGTTGATGGAGCTGGAGGAGGAGCTAGTACATGTGGACAATGTGTATACACTTGACGGATAGATGGTCGCTTAACAGGTGGTGGCACCGGAGGCAAGGACTTGGTCACAACTTGAACAAGAGGAACAAAATTCGCAACTGGAAGAGGAAGAGGAGGAGGTGATGAGGATGAAGAAACATCACCGGACCCCAAGAAAAACAGAGTACACTCAAAGAAGGTAACATCAGCACACACAAATGAACATCGAGAGCTAGGATGATAACACTTATGCTCTTTCTGAGTCCGTGAATAGCCAAGGAAGAATACTGGATCGTGCATCTAACTTGTCCCTCAAGGGGCCCAGATTATGGACGAAGCAGACACACCCAAAAACCCAAGGAGAAAGAGGAAACGAAGACAAGATAGAAAACAAAGTAGTGAATGGAGAATGGCCATCAATGATAGACATGGACATCCGATTAATCAAGAAGCAAGAAGTAAGCACCACATCACTCCAAAAGGGTTTAGGAACATTCATGTGATGCATGAGAGATCAAATTGTTTCCAAAAAATTACGATTCTTTCTCTCAGCCACCCCATTTTGTTGTGGGGTGTAGGTACATGAAGTCTAATGTACAATGCCATGTTGATCTAAGTATTATTGAAATGATGAAGAGAAATATTTACGGCCATTATTGGAACACAAAATTTTAATGTAAACACCAAATTGGTTGCGGATCTCAGCATAAAATTTTTGAAAAATGGTAAGCAATTCACTCATTTCTTTCATTAAATAGAGCCACGTCATCATTGAATAATCATCAACAAAAATGACAAAATATTTATATCCATTGTATGACATCATTTTATAAGGACCCCAAACATCTGAATGAACCAAAGAAAAATGACTCAACATACGGTTATCAACCTTAGGACTAAAGGGAACATGGTGATGTTTCCCCAACTGACACGACTCACAATCCAAAATAAAAAGATGACTCAACGAATGAACAAAAAACTTCAAAACTTTCAGCGAAGGATGACCAAATCAACAGTGCCACTGGAGAGGAGAGAGAGATGATTGGAGAGTTGTTGATGTTCTTCTACCACCGTCAAGATAAATGCAATCTACCAGCTTCATGCCCTCCACCAATCTTCATTCCTATCCTGAGACCCTAAAAAACACACGAAGAAGGATAAAAAGTAATAGAGCAATTAAGTGAATTGGTCAACTTACTAGCTGACATAAGGTTAAACGGAAATTTAGGGACATACAAAATTGAGGATAAAATGTAAGGGGGTCATGTTAACATTGACAACACCACAAATGGACGATTTTGAATCATTAGCAAGGGTAACAGATTGTGATGTTGAGCAATGAGAAAGGAAAGAAAACACACATGGAGTTTCAATTATGTGATCGGAGGCTCTAGAGTCAATAATTCAGGGATTGGGTGTGGATGCTAGACAAGCTATACCTAAGTGTGCGAGAGTGGCCGTGTTCTGTTGAGATGCGGCCTGGACAAACCTCTCATAGTCATCATGGGGGACACTCATCATCTCCTTCCCGGGAACATCTGTGGATGTAGGAAGCATTTGATCAACTGAACGACTCTCCTGTTTGAAGCTGTTGTCACTAGTCATGGCATGATTAGTCCAAGTTGAGGGTGGACCATATAAGTCATAGCAATAATTAATGATATGTCCATCCATACCAAAGTGAGTGCCCCTACTCGAACCCAAACTACGTCCTCTGCCATGGGCTCCCCCTGAATCTCTACCTCCAGTACGACCACCACCACGGTTATATGTAGGTCCACCACCACCACTCCAACCATATACCAGTCCACTACTACCACTACAGCCAAACTGAGCTCCCCGAACTTCACCTCTAACACCATGACCATCGATACTATAAAGGTTGATCTATTGGAAACATTAGAGTTCTTGGTAGATCCATTGGAAATCCTCCTAAGTCGAGCAAACACCTCTTCTAAGGAAAGGAGAGCTGACCCTCCTAGTATTTGAGCCCGCACTAGTTCATACTTAGATTTTAGCCCCACCAAAAATTGAATCACATCAAGTTGTTCTCTCTGCTGTTGCTGAATTTTGACATTAGAAGTGAGGGGGTGATAAGCATTCAACTCATTACGAATGTTTCTCATACTAGCATAGTACTCCTCAAGACTCTGATTATCCTATTGCAGATTAAAGCATTCCTGATGCAACTGATATACTCTGGTTGTATTGTCTTGATCCGAATACAACTTCTTAGCATGGTCCCACACATATTTGGCAATGTCAAGAAACATAAAGTTTACATTAATCTTGGGTTCCATACTGTTCCATAACCATGTGATAATTTGTGCATCTTCTTGTTCCCAATCATCATACTCATGAGAATCAGTTGAGGGTTTTTCTTCTCTTATGTGTTTCACCTTCTTCTTTGCCTTAAGAAAAACTTCTACAAATTTAACCCAAGGTACATAAATTTCTCCACTTAGTTTAATGGAGGTCATTTGAACATTCAAGTAGTCAGGGACCATCACATTAGACTTGCTATCACTGTTGTCTCCCATTGCTGAATTCAACACACTGCACACTAGACCACACCACACATTTATCACACTGGTTTCAGCACTTGTTGTTGTTGAAGATTGCACTCTTTACACCACAAACCCTACCCCACGACTACTTGAAATCTCACCACCTTGTATGATAACCAATCCCCCATTCGAATTACACTGAAAATAGCATAAACCCTAGCACACTAAAGTCTGAAATCCCACCATACGATCTAAAACATACTTATCATTTGATTCACAACAAAAAAGATTGCATAGAAATCTCTTACCTAATCACCCAAAAACCATACCACACAAGACACCCACTACACCACACAAATCAGCCCTCTTCTCTTAATCAACTAGGGGAGGGCTTCTTAGAAACCACAGTAACCAACCACGAATAGCACAACCTGGAGGCATAGAAACCTCCAAGGGAAGATGATGACCACTCCTTTTTCAGCCCTTTCCCTTATCTGCAACCGATGGTGAAGAAATCAAGAGAAAACCCTAGACTGGGTGCGCATAACACAAAATTATGGGCAAATCCAATTTGCTCAACCTGGCTTTGATACCATATTATGATTCGGCCTGCCCTTGAGTCCTGTTAGGCTGATAACAGTCAAGAAGAAAGGAGAAAAAAGAAGAAAGAAAGGGAGAGAGAGAGAGAAAGGAGAAAATAAGAGAAGAAAGGGAGAGAAAAATTTGGTTAGAATGAAAGAAATATTACCTCTCTCATTCAGCTAGATGTGTTTTATATTACTAACATAGTGGAAAAGACACATGTGCCCCTACTTAAGTGAGGAACACTAGTTCTAACATAATCTTACACATCAGCAACCTCAACATAAGCATAAGGATAGAAATACCCCTACATACTCGACACTAACAGTATGTATGTATGTATCTGTGTGTGTATATGTATATACATGCTAATTGAGCCAAGCTCGCAAGCTTTCAAGCCAAACTTTTTATTAGTCGAACTCAAACATTAATAATTAATCAAGCTTACCCCAAGGATTGAACTCGATTTGAGCTCGATTAGAATCAAACTCAAACTGAGCCCAATTGAATTCGAGCCTAAACTATTCAATTAGAGCTCGTTTTGAATGCAGCCTTAGGTATATATTACATCCATTACATACATGAAGAAAAAGCTAGAATTGTAAAAATCTCCTGATCTATAGTTAAAAAAGGTATTCTCCTTGACTAAGAAAAGCTACCTATTTTGATTTTCTCCCTCATTGTTCCTTCTGTTTCTTTACAATTCATTCTTTTTGTTCCCCACTTCTAAGTTGCCAATTTCCTTACACTTCTAATTCTTCTTCCTTGAACTTCTATACCGACTTCTTCTAAAGTGCTTGATACCTTTTCTGCACAAGGGATGAAGCAATGGTTGTAAGTCGTTCATCCTCACAAAACATCTCTTCATAAAATCCTTCCCCTTCTCTGATATCTCCTCAAACATCAAGGGGGCATTCTTTTTTTTGGATTTTGAGGGGAAGGAAAGTTGGTCAATAGGATTTTTGTTTCCCATTGACCATGAAACCCATGTTCTTTTTTCAAATTTATGTGGGGACTAGGGAAAGTTTATTTTCCTGGGTATCACTTACCTAGGTCACCTCCTAGGTGGGTAAATAACTTCCCACCTTGGGGGAAGTCACTAACAGTTGAATGGGACAAAAATGCCCCTTTTAATAATGAACTATTATGGTTAAAATGGTCATTGTCTTATTTAACTGAGAAATAAAAGAACATGGGTAAATGCACTTACTAACATAATGAAACAGTTACTCGAGTATGTGCATTTACCCAGGTAAGTAACTTACCGAAAAGCAAATAGGGCCTTGAAATAACCCATTTTAACTTAACAAAAACCTCTTGTAATGATCATCTCAGTAATTTTACATACAAATTTACTAAAATATGTGTTTTATTGAGTTAAAATGGGATTACTTCAATAATTTTGTATGTAAAATAATTTATAAAATGGTATAATGGGTATTTGGAGAAAGTTGGTGTATCATTCTAACATTTTTCGTCTGAGATGGTGACAGAAAGGAGGTTTTTGTCGAGTTTCTAGAAAGTTTAGGGGATGTTTTTATATTTTACCCTTTCCAAAATAATGTAGGGTATATTTAAGTAAATTAATGAAAACTCAAGTTACATTTAAGTCTTTTACGCTTTAATATATCCTCAAACGTGCGCCACTTAAACCACTGACATAGTCTCACATAGCACCATGTGTCAAGAACATCTCAGCAATTATCACATTAACCCCTCTCTCTCTCTCTCTCTCTCTCTCTCTCTCTTTGTTTTGGCAAATTTTGTCTCGTCCCCATCTTTATGTTCTTCTCCCTTTTTTTAAACCTTTTTAGGGTTTTTTACATGGTTTTAAAAAACAACCTGAAAATAGAACCGTTTTGGCCATCGATTTATGGGTCGACAATTCAATCGTCCGGTTCGAATGGATGGCTCGTCCTAACAACAAAAATAAAAAAAATAAAAAATAAAAAATGGCCAAAAACCGTTGAACGGGTTGACGAGTCAACAGTTCGACCACCCGGGTTAATGGGTTGTTGACCGATTCAATGGTTTTTGGCTAGGGACTGGGATTGGGGTAAAACGGAACCAGTTGCCTAGATGGTTCCCGAGCTAAACGGTTCGACTGTCCATGTCAACTGCGATTCGAAAACCATGGTTTTTATGCTTTTGGATTTTCACTATTCAAAGGTCTCTTTTGGTGTGAGATTTATTCGAGCATGTGCAGTTTGACAAAGGTTTTTTTTTTTTCATTTTTTGCTTTGTTTTTTGGTATTTTTCTTCTTTAAGATCCTCTAAAACGGTATAGGGTTTACCACCATTTCATTTCTTTCCTTTTGTTTTTTCTTTGAGTTTTATTGTGCAATGTTTTTTTATTTTTTCTTATAAGGCGATATGCTCAGTCTCTTTCTTTGATTGCATGTGTGTCTAGTTCCATCTCAAATCGGAACTTTAGACTCGATTTTCTGATATTTTCCATGGTTTTTCCAATTTGGTGGATTTACCACCAATTTTTTTTCTTGTGTTTAAAGTCACATTGGATTTATCTTTCTTTCAAGGCTTTGGAATCCCTCGCAGACAAAGTTATTTTGTCTAATTATTGACATCTAGAAAAAACAACCCAGAAAAACAAAACCGTTATGGCCACCAGTTTCCAGGTCGATGGTTCAACTACCCAATTCGAATGGAAGACCTATTCTGACAACAAAAATAAAAAAAATAGAAATAATTAAAAATAAAATGACCAAAAACTACTTAACGGGTTAACAGGTCGACCATTCAGGTCAATGAATCATTGGCCGACTCAACGATTTTTGGCCATGAACCGGGTTTAGGGTAAAACAGAACCAGTTGCCTAGACGATTCCCAGGCCAAATGGTCCTATTAGCTAGGAGTTTTTGATGTGAAACAAAAAACAACTATATATAAAATAGAACTCAAAACTATCGGTGTATGATCGTGTTTTTTTACATGCGATGCTTTATTGAAACAATATTTAAAAACTAAGCAGATAATAATAAAAACTAAGCAGATAATAATTTCAAAACTTAATTACTTATAATTACAAGTTTCTTATGAAGAAATGTAGCAAATATAATGTTATTCATCAAATATGTTCCCGGTGGATGTAGGTGCGCTCAGAGCAAATCCCAATTCTCACTGACATCTTAATAAGGAAGTTCACAAAATGCTCGATATCATAAGCCCGGATCTGCTGCTTGGATGCTGTATGTAAAATGCTACACGATCAATCACGAGTGGACACGCCAGTATTCATTTGTAGCTCCATGTGTACGGAACAATGACGTGCTCACTCGTCATTGGTTACGTACCTATCTACACACAATGTGCGAGCAGCAGATCTCGAGTGCGCTATAATAGGTAGGGGAGTGCCCGAACCGAAATACATGGCGAAGGGCCGAAGGCTGAAACTGCCAAAACGTTCAAAAGATACCGGGATACCCAGATGCTGACCCTTTCTCTCTCTCTCTCTCTCTCTCTCTCCGGTGGTCGAAGAAGGAGATGCAACTCCTCTCCCATCTATCATACAATCTCCTTCTCTCCCTTTGTGTCATCTCAGTCGTCTTCCTCTGCAGCAAATAATAAATCAATCAACAGATACGCTGATCATCAAACATTATTCAGCGGCCATATAGATACAACGCACTCTATCTCTCTAAAATTGCCAAAGTTACAAGAATAAGGGACGACGATGTCGTGGTTTAGATCCGCAGTGACCAAAGTTATGGTGGCCAGAGGCAAGAACAACCTCAGTCACACCGTCAGGAGCTACGCTGACTCCGTCGTCCAACAAACCGGTCATGCCGTTGCCGAGGGTTCCAAGCTTCCGCAGGATCGCATTGTAATTTATTATATTCTCTAAGTGTACTCTTTTGCTTCTCATTCCATTTTATTTTTGCTCCATTACTCATTTCTCTTGGTTTGATTTGTTAATTATTATATTTCCGAAGTCGCTACGTTCAGTATTATTTTGATAGTTCGTTGGATGTGCATGCGGAAGTCAGCTTCACTTATTCTATTTCGTGCTGTTAGTTTTCAATGTCTTTCGTTATTTAATGTCTCATATTATAATTTCTTCATGATACTTCTTACATTTTTATTTTAAATTATCATCATCGTCATCATCGTTTTTTTTTGAATGCATTAATTATCACCATTTTTTTTTAAACGTAAATTATTTCTCCAAGGTTCATTAATTCCACCCCCTTCATTTCACACTTTTAAAGCAAGTGGATGATATTCCTAGTATCTTTGTTCAATTTAATTCTGAAGACAAATGCTGCAGAACACCAAAAAGAAAAATGTTCTTAACCTCAACATCCACATCATGAATAATGCTGACATCACTATAAGAAAATACCTTCCCATCTCGGTTATAGCAAGCTCACAAGGAATGAAGTGACTGAATTGAATGACTTGTATCTTTGTCTTTCAGTGGATAAGATAATTATATGATAAAATATTTGCAGCTATAATAACTAACCCAATTCCAGCTTCAGCCATTAAGGAACTCACAACCTTTTTAATAACTTACCAAATGTCAAAGCAAGTCATTTGATTCAACCAATTCAGATGTTATCAAATAGCCCCTAAGACTTCTCTAATTTCATTAAGGTAGTATACTTTGACCACTTCCCAACATGGACTCCACTGAATCCTGTTAGTTGAGTCTTCCTCAATGGCAAATGAAGTGATTGTACTGCTGTTTCGAAATCCTAGCACTGGTAAGGGGAGAAAATCTATATTACCTGGATATGGCCAGGGCATGGTATTGGGTATGTAATTCAAACTAAAAATTGAAGTAACGACACTCTTGTACACTGGATATCCTAGAAGCAATTTATATAGCTGCATCATCCTGACACAACATTAATGTCACCAGCTCTTTAGGTAAGGGATAAATTGATGGATGCAAATAATACAGCTGCATCATAGGAGCAAATTGAATCCCACCTTAGTACCATGATGCTTATAAATGGATACGGAAAGGGTAATTAGGCCCTCAGGTATTCGAGGGTCACTAGAAACTTTTATGGCCATGTCAAAGATATTTTCTTGGGTCTAATTGGATATGGAAAATTATATGAGAGCAGAAATGGTAGCACTCCTGCATGGTTTAAGATTAAGCAGATCACTGAATATCACAGCATTGAATATAGAAGGGAATTCAAGGGTAAAGGTGGGCTGGATGAGGAATGAAAGTATGGGAGCCTGGAACTATAGAAGCATCATAAAAGAGATCAAAGTAATGACGATAAACTTAAACATCACATATTCATGGGTTCACAGATCAGAAAATGGCCTTGCTGAAGCCTTGGTCAAGGTGGGAATTAATAGGCATCAGCTTTTTTGGGGGGCTATGTTATAATGTACAATCAAGAATTTGGACATACCATGGAGCCTGTGTAAAAAGTAAAGAAAAAGGGTCTTGTGACAGCATTCATCACTTTGGTCTGCTTAGCAGTATGTACTGACCAGTAAAAAAAAAGTAGTTACAAGATAAGCATTGTGACATTGCTTTTGAATCACATAACTTATTGGAAAAACATAGCATATAGTTGCATACTTGGTAAAATCTCTTGCTGATCTATTGAGCTAGGATTTTTTTTTTTTGGTTTCTTTTTCTTTTCCTTTTCACATAACTATCTTATTATAATTAAAATGTTATGCATTATATATATATATCTCAATTTTTGTGATTGTCTAATCACTTCCCTTTCTTAATCAGTGTTTTTGCACAATCTATGTTCTATAAATCACTATAATCTTTTCTGATTTATTCTTGGTTAATTTCTTTTGTGCTATGCCCCTTTCAAAATATTCAGGGGGGAAGCAATTCGAAAAGCTTTAATGACACCATGAAAAGATTGGAAGAGGTTGCTGTTTCTTGTACGGGGCTAGAAAGAACTCAATTATTGAGAAGGTGGTTGATTCAATTGAAAGAAACTGAAAAGTTGTCTGGGAGTTCTATTGATGATAAAGAAAAGGTTCTTGACCAACATCATGCTTTTGATGAGTCCAAAGAGTCACCAGCAAATCCTTCTTTGGTGAGTGAACTGTTTTGTTATTCAAATTTCTGGCCACATTTTAAATTTCTACAACCAAGTGATTTTCCTATAAGATTGCAAAACTTTGTTCTAGGGGCCATTGCTTGGTGTAATGGTAAAATCACAGGCTGACAAACATGAGAATGTGATTCAAGTTTGAGAGTGCCCACTTTGTGCCAAAAAATGCCAAATGTTAGGTCTGTATCCAATCCACTCCTCCCAAGACCCCAAAAGTGGCTGGGGCCAACATTGGGTAATGGCCATTTTTCTATGTACAAACTTTTTTTTTTTCATTGCATTCATACTTCATTTACATTATGAAGTGCACAAACTATTTACCTATTAAGGATTAACACTCTCAGCAATTTATTCTAAGAAATCAATCAGAGTATGAGTGTCTTTGTCTAAGTGCATAAAGTGCGGAGTAGAAGTTTGCTTGAACTTAATTCCAGCTAAGGTATAAAAGTTCCTTTGGATAATTAAACCCTTGGTCATGGGTCTAATAGCAATATAAGGGCTTCTTGAGGCAACAATTTGAAGGCTACTTGGGCCGGAATTGACCCACTTCATCATTTATTATTGGAAGCTTTTTATGTGGAAATCACATTTCATAATGTTCTATGAATTTCATAATGGTTCTTCTCATGCTTTGTTCATGCAGTAGTGCAGTTGTTCTAAACTGCTTTGATATGCAATAAGTTACTTCTGTTAAAACTTAAAATAAGCAACAGTAGTTCAGCCTATTGCTTACTAAGGTTTATGCAAACTGGTTCTCTATTTTGTCCTAGAAGATGGTGAACTTAAGAGGAGGGCTAGTAGAAGTTCAGACTTTGTAGTTGTGCTTCTTTTTTTGCTTGGCCTTTTAGTTGTGTCTCACTTTGATAAAAAATTATAATTATTGTGATATTATTTCATTTTGAGGGGCACAAAATGCTCAAACGCTAATCAGAGTTAAGGTTTTATATGAAACTATTAAGTTTTGCATTGTTGTCTGCATTTTTAACAGATTAGTTAGTTGTTCTAAATTCATCAATAATTTTCTTTGGTCCACAATGAGGTGTTTCCCTTGTTGATGAAGCGAATTTTAATGGATATCATCTAGTAAAATTCAGCTTGTTCTAACACTTTGTACTTCAAGAGGAATCATATGATGTTGACCACCTTGCATTCTTTTCCGGTTCAGCATAACTCTAATCTTTTTATACTTGAACAAGATTTAAACTGGGTCTTCCACATCCTGACTGAACTTTTAGAAGGTCCAGATTGAGATAGTGCTGCCACAAGGACCAATGGTTCCACATAGCCAATTTTATTTTCTTTTTATATTTTTTAGTACTTTATTGAATGAGATATTTTCTGTCAGATAATAATATAATTTTTTTTCCTTGTCTTGGACATAAAGCAAAATTTTCTGTTTTTGAGTAATTTGTATTGTATATGGTGTGTATGATTTGTATGTTAATGTTTATGTTGGTTAGAATGGGTCTGAAGTTTAAAAGAATTATTATGAATGCTTTTCATTCTTTTGTTTTGGTTTCTCATCTTATGTGCTCTTTACTTGTGTATAGGTTCTGTATTATGACTCTGATTTGGTGAGTGAGCCAATGAATTTCCGTGATGTGTTCCTTCACAGTCGAGCTTTAGAAGGCATAACATTGTCCATGGTGAGTTAAATAAGTTTTATCTATCTGTTCATTTGATGGATGAATTTTAGTGCTCTATTACTGTGTGTGCTTTGACTTTTACCGTGTATATTTTTAAAAGACGGATTTGCAGCATTTATATGCTGTATGTCAATGAGGTTAACAGCCATTGATATGTAAAATTAAAGGAAGAAAGAGTGCTATCTTCTTCTTTTGCTCGCATTGTTGCTACATAACCCCAAGTTTGCTTACCTTGTGAACTTGTTTAGTTTTTGTATATTGTGAAAAACTTGGGAAGGGGGCTCCACACGTAGTTATTTGATTATTCCTTTAAAGATCAATTTCAATAACTTATCCCATCTATTGAATCCATCAATAATGGTTATCACTTCCCACCACAGTGATTGCTGCAAATCGGACATCCCTCTTGGTATGGGAGTTCCAAGAAAACATTGACAGAGTGTTTTGGTAAGATTTGGCTGACAGCCTGACACAAGGGCTAGGAATTTTCAACTCTTGATGGAGTGTTTTACAAGATCTCAAACTTGAGAACCAATTTGGCCAGAGTTATGGGTCTTGACTTAGAATGATAGCAAGGAAGAACTGCAAGCAGCCAGCAGCTTGGCAACAAACTTACATATAAAAAAGAAACTTTACAAATCACTTCCCCGCCCTAGAATTCCCCTTTGAAAATTCTGTCCTGTCAGCTCTGTTTTTTATAGGATATCAGCTAGACAATTGGCAGTCCTTGGGACTCACCTTAACTAGCAATTCAGATTGCTTACTCTGGCCCTTTTCTATCTAACTAAAAATTGGTTAGTCCATGGTATCTCTTCTTTTACTCTCATCCATAGATTCACTACCTAGCAGTTCCCTTTGGCAATCAAATCTGTCCACCTGTTCATAGACACCAATTTTAAGCCTTCAATGGGAGCTAAAAGTTAAGAATTTAAAGTTGTTTTACCCAGATGGTCTCAAGAAGCTTGGTAAAATGTTTTTATTGCCATCTCTCACAACTCTTCCTATTCTTGAGGCACTTGGGTTGCCTAGGGTGCAATCATCAAAATTTTGTCTCTTTCTGCCTGCCTTAGAACTCTTCACACCACTGTTCGTTACTCTTTTGTAGCAGAAAAATCAGCCACACTTTAGATGATATGGTGTAAGTGAGGTCTGGAAGATGTAATTTATTGAAGCTAAACTAAAGGGGAGATGCACAAGTTTAGTGGCTCAAACAACAAGATCTTTATATAGAATGAAATACTCTTGACAAGAAATTTTATTACAACCAGAGTTCAAATTCTCAAAATCAAAGGTCTAAACCATTACCACAGGTAGGTTAAAAAAGAAGCCAGAATTCAAAGTATTTATGAAAACTAGTAAGTGTGCACGTGCTTTGCACGTGACAATTTTTGATGTCGTTGATGATGATGATAGTAAATAATTTGTTTCTAAATTTTTTTACAATTTTATTCTCACATTTATTTTTGTTTAATATAGATGTGCCCAAATGCTTTCTACGTTTTTTTTTTTTTTTTGTATTTTTACACATTTGACCTAAAAGGTTGAATTGTTGATTTGCTACCAAATAGGAAAAAAACTCTGTTTTGGGTTGATTTGAAATTTCTATTTTATTTCTATCATCAGCAAAGACAATTCTTCTTTGTTACACTTACTTTTTTAGTATGGTCAATTAATATAAGATTCAATGAAAAATGGGAGTCAATACCCTAAATTTAAGACTTAATGTGAGGGTATTGAATGAGGAGAAATGTAGTACTTTAAATTATATTTTATGTCCTTATAATTAGATTAGAGAGACCAAATTCAAAAATAGGGGTATTTTAGTCAAGAATAGGATTCAATGAATGTATTGGGAGTTAATACCTTAAATATAAGACTTAATGAGAGGGATTTCAATGAGGAGAAAAGCGGTTGTTCAAATTATATTTCTGTCCTTACAATGAGAGGGATCAAATTCAAAAATTAGGGTATTTTAGTCAAACAAAAGTTCTACACTCTCATTGTGTTTGTATGCTGTGTGGGGTGGCTCTAGGATGAGTGTGTATGTTGTGAAACAGGATAACAGTGGAATCTTGAAAAACCAAGTTCATTTCTGATGCTCTGATTTGTTAATTTGAAACATATGATCCATAAATTAATTTGGTTAGTCCAATGTTTCCCTGTGGGTGCACAGCATTTGGCATTCTGAGGTTTCAGTTCTCATTCTTGGTTGCATTGCTTGCTCCAGATCATATCATGCTGAAAGTTCAAACTGCGTTATAGAAAACTTGACTATGTTAAGTGTCTTTAACTAGGAAAGAGGTGAATCTGCTACCTCTTTTGCCACGGTACTGCATTTGAAAATTCTGAATTTACTGTTATAGACATTTCATCTTGAGGTGGAGAGTTTTCATCTAATTTTGGCATGATTCTAATTATATCTAGAATCAGACTTCTACTTGCTGATCATGGAAATTAACCGCAGGTTGACTCTTTTCTATGACTCAGATTCTTGAAGCACCAAATGAGGAGGAAGCTTCTCTGCTTTTGGAGATATTTTGGTGAGTCTCTTTGCTCTTTTGTATTTATGTCTGATTGCTGTTATCTGCTTTTCAATGTCCTTTTGGCTTTTGCAACTTCTCATATAGTTTCTAGGTGGAACTGCAAGACAATATGTTGTTCATTGATTTTTTCTGCACTTGATGTGAAATTCCTTTAGTAGTACTTATAAGACAGTTGTTTGATCCACTTTTGCCTTCTTTCACACTTCACAGAATCACAGTACAATAGTGTTTGATGATTAGGTAGCATTAACTTAAGCAAAAACTCAAATATTGGGGGGGGATATGGAGGGTAATTTTGATAAAATAAATATAAGATGCTACATGTAAGAATGACAATGGCATCTACCTTGAAAAAGGAACCATGAAGATCTCAAAGAGTGCTACTGTCTGATTGCAGAAAAGACGACCAATTTGTGTTGCCAATAAATTGGACCTTGATCCCGATCTGATCCAAAATTCTGATTAGATGGATACCACTCGAAATATATCTGTTTATTTTTCTGGATCAATTCTAGATCCACTGCAATTTGATCTGATCAAGATCTGATCTGATAACTTTTACATTCATAAGTGGGTTTGCAAGTTGGGTCTTCTAGTGGAAGAGTCTAAAGACATAGAAAACCGCAATGTGGCAGTTAATCTGGAGTTTCAAAGGAGTCTCCCTCATCATCCTAGATTCATGGAAAAAGTTTTGGTCTAAAAGATCTTGCAACATGTTTTAGACATGCTCTATTTCATGGGTTACTTTTGAGTTAGAAAATTGAAAGCTACAGGTTATTATTAGTTGAACAAAACTCCAATCCAAGGTTGGACCAAGGCTGATATGGACTGCAGAATTCAACAAATTGCAAATTAAGAGAGTTCCCTATCTGATGAGCCATTTGTTTTGGCCACAGGATTCCTTGATGTGGCTAAAATAGAGTAGATTGAGTAGGAAATCTCCCTACATGATGGGATTCTGAAGCCTTATTCCTATACTTTGTACAATATGTTTCCAAACCAATCCAACAGAAAGCAGTTACAAAGTCCATGAGTAATAAGGAGCTAAAAGACAAACTGTAATTGCTCCAGTCTGGAGTTGGGCTTCACATGAGAAAACCTTGTAACCATATGTGGCCCTTCTGGGTGTTCCATTCTGTGCAAGAAGCACAAGCCATGTGGTAATTGCACCTTGACACAGCATTGGTAAAGCATGGTCTTCATGTAACTTTTCACATGGTCAGTGGGCTGATCCCTTGGCAAGTCTGTCATCAATTATTTTCTTTTTATTTTATCTTTATTTATTTATTTAGGTCTTTTTTCTCTGTATTTAAGAAGCAAAAATTTGCAAGTGGTAAATTGGTAATATGAAAAAGCTTATGTGGTGCCATTTTTTTTATAAAATTTCAATAGTAGTGTCATTTTTTTTATAAATCCAGAAAGATATAAGACCTGGGATTAATATGAATTTTGTCTAAACTTCTTTATTTTTTTTATTTTTTCAGCCTCTGCCTTACAGGGGAAAGGGAAGTACACAATGCAATAGTGAGCAGCATACAGGATTTGGCAAAAGTGTTCTCAAACTACCAAGATGAAGTTTTGGTAAATAACTAAGATTTCATTTATAGCCATGGAAAATTTGATAATTCTGCTGATGCTTTATTAAATTTTCCTGGTTCGTTTATCAACATCTTATGCATCTTATTGCCAATGAGATAAGATATTTGATTCAGCAAGTAGTTTTAATGTAAAAGCAGAAAAAATGATGTAGCAGATGAAGATTTGTAAGTTTTTAACATTTAAACACTTTTCTTTTTCCTAGGTAAAGCGGGCGGAATTGCTCCAATATGCACAAGGTGCAATTTCAGGGTTGAAAATAAATGCTGATCTTTCAAGGTGGCTAATAAGCTGTCCTTTTTTTGATTGTCATAGGCATTTAATTCTCAAACTTTGTCTTAAGCTCTTCTCCATGTAATAAATCCATGCAAATGCTCACCTTTTCCTTTTGAGCATGTGATGATTGCATTTGGTAGCTTACCTTTTTCTTGGAACTTTTCTGTTGCTGATCGTTAAAGTTCTAACCTTGTCAAATTTAATGGAGACAGAATCTTTACATATTGTTTCCTAATTGGTAGCATACCTTTAAACTTTTCTCTCTGAGTTCCCTGGTTCCCAAAGAAAGTCCATAATGATCTTCTCTAATTACTTAATGATTGACATTGGAGCCTTAAATACCGAAAAGAAGTAAATAGGCAGATCAGAGAAGGTGGGCCTAATCAGAGTAATACAACCTCTAAGAGAGATATAGTTTTTCTTCTAGTCTGCAACTTTTTCTTAACCTATCTAAAACTGGGTTCTGAAAAGCATTTGACCTAGGTTGCCACCTAAAGGGATGCTTAGATAGTTAAAAGGCCAATTAGATAAAGGACTACTTAGAAGGAGACCTTCCCATTATCTTTACATGTTGGTCTTCCGGTTGGCCCATTTAGGCTCCATAAGAGATGTCATTCTTCAAGAGTAGTGCTTTTAGTTCTTCTATAGGACTGTACAGTTTTGATTCCTTTAGGTATTGAGTCGGTTACTGTGTATGGGGCACTTTTGAAGTGTTATCAGGTGAAAAAGTGACCTCCAGGGTGGCTGCTGGGGATTTAGATGCACATCTCAAGAGTAATGCTTTTACTTCTCCAGGGGTGCAGAATTTTCATTCCTTTAGGTTGTGTTTGGTGTAGAGAAAATGGTTGACCAGCTTGTGGTCCCCATCTGATCATATGTTTTTTTTCTTGTCTATAGTGCTGTTAGAATACTGTTAGAACCTTTTTTCTGTTGTTTCTAGTGACAGGGGCATTCCTGTCATTGTACCACTTATTGTTGTAGGCATATTTTTAAATATCATTTGGGCCAGAAGACTAAGCTGTCCGAACCCCTCTTTCTCTTCTATTCTCTCTTCCTCTTCTCCTCTTCTCTTCTCTTCATTTATGGTTTTCTTTTGCTTACTAATCAGGTCTGAACCTTCTTGGTTTCAGACAACTTGGTATCAGAGCAGGCCTAAACCTGGCTTGGGCTCTCATGTAGGTGTTGTTCATCTGACTACATGAGAGTAGTTCTAGGGCTGGAAGTTTCAGCTTGAGTCGCCTGGTTCTTGGAGGTCATTGGAGATCGAAGAAGGTGTCCAAGGTTCAAATATCTTGGAGAGCTGTTCGGTGACCAGGAAGATATTAAGAGTGGCGCCCAGTAATTTCTGGGTTGTTTTTCATACTTTCTGGATTGTTTTTCTATTCTCTTGGACTGTTTTAGGTCTTTTGTACGGACTGTTTTTCTGGGCTGTACTATTTTTGACAGTGTTGGTTTCCTCTACTGCCCACCTTGTATTTGTAAAATGGCCTCTGAAGTTTTCTTCTTCCTTTGGGTGCTGTTTGGGCAGTACCTGGAATTTCTGTTTAGAAAAGGAGTTTGGACAGTGCTGTACTCTCCATTCAGTGATTACTCTGTCATTTCAGCATGGAAATGAGAACAAACCAAATGGAGAAGGACTTGTAGGAGCTGTAAACTCTACTTATAACAGTTTATTTCAGATTACTACAGTCAAGTTTGATGGAACAAACTATTTGGAATGGGCCCAATCAGCCGTGATGGTCATTGGGGGGAGGGGAAAGTTGGGGTATGTGATGGGAGACACAAAGAAACCAACACAGGAGGACCCTTCCCTTGCTAAATGGGTTCAAGAAAATTATTTGGTTATGACTTGGTTATGCAACTCCATGCAACCTCATATAAATAGAAACTATCTTTGGGCAAAGACAGCTATGGAGATTTGGGACAATATGAAAGAAACCTATTCTCAGCCCCTTAATGTTGCTAGAGCCTATGAATTGAAAATTGAGGTGAATAATCTTAAACAGGGAGAGAAACCTGTGTCAATCTATTTCTCCACCTTGAAATCATTGTGGTATGAAATTGATCATCTTGAGACTATTGAGTGGGAGAGCCAGAAGGATGCTGCCACATTCAGGAAATTGGTTGAGAAAAATAGAGTGTTTGAATTCCTGGCTGGGCTAAACTCTGACTATGACATTGTAAGATAACAACTTCTCACTAGAGATAGTGTCTCTTTATCTCAAGCCTACTCTCTGGTACATAGTGAGGAAAGTAGAAGGAAAGTTATGTTACAAATCTCATCTATGGAATCAGCTTTAGCAGCTATAAAACCAAAGACTGGAGGTGATAAGGAGAGAGATGTAAAGAAGGATGAAAAGAGGGATGTGTTTTGTGACTACTGTAAGAAGCCAAAACATACTAAGGACACTTGTTGGAAGCTTCATCCTCAACTAATTCCAGAGAGCTCCATCCTCTTCCAACACTAGATTCAGTTCCCTTGATGCATTGGTTGCTGTTAGGGCTGCTTTATCTCACCTGGAGAGTGAAGTTGGCTACTCTGGACAATCTCATTCTACTCTTACTTCTGCTTTTGCTCAATCAGCTACAAGGGCCACTGCCTATCATTCCTCTACCCTAGGTAACACTAGCCATTGTTGGATTATTGATTCAGGTGCATCTGATCATATGACCAATTTATCTTCATTATTTCATACCTATTGCTTGTCCTCTAGCATAGACAAGTGTTTATTGCTGATATCTCTCTTGTCCCTATTTCAGGCAAGGGAGACATCAATGTCTCTGATGCCATTTCCTTATCTTTAGTTCTACATGTTCCTAAACTAAGTACTAATATGCTTTCTATCAGTAGTATCACTAAACACCAGAACTGTTCAGTGATCTTTTTCCCTGATCATTGTGTTTTCTAGGATTTGGCTACAAGGAAGGTGATTGGGACTGGTCGCGACCGTGAGACGATTGGGATCAACTTGCTTGAACATCCACCTGAGAAGAGGAAAGAAGATGGGAAGTCTTTTGTGTCATAGTCTGTGAATCAGATTATGCTTTGGCATAATCGATTGGGTCATCTTTCTTTTGGGTCTTTAAGGAGTGTTTTTCCTAATTTGTTTGAGTCAATCCAAGTGTCCAGTTTGAAGTGTGAGAGTTGTGAGTTGGCAAAGCATTGTAGATCACCTTATTCACAAAGTAATAAAAGAAGTTCTGTTCTTTTTGAAATTGTATATACTGATGTTTGGGGGCCTTATCATATTCCTGCTATGGGTGGGTACAAATACTTTCTATTGTTTGTTGATGACCATTCTTTGTTTTCATGGGTTTACCTCATGCGCTCTCGGGATGAGGTTCCCACTTTGACCCGCATTTTTCATCAAATGATCCTGACTCATTTTGGGGTTAAAATAAAAAATCTCAGATCTGATAATGCTAAAGAATATTTTGCAAAACCCTATATTCTTATCTCCTTGAACATGGAGTGATTCATCAGTGCACTTGTCCACATACAACTCAGCAGAATGGTGTAGCTGAGAGGAAAACTAGGCACATCCTTGAAGTTGCAAGAAGCATCATGCTAAATACTAATGTTCCTATTCGTTTCTGGGGGGGATGCCATTCTTACTGCTGTTTATCTCATTAACAGGATTCCTTCACGAGTCTTGGACATGAAAGCTCCTTTTAACTTGTTGTATCCTGATAAGGAGCAATTCTTTGTTCTTCTCAAAACCTTTGGTTGCACTTGTTTTGTCCAAATCCTTGGGTCTGCCCGTTCAAAACTTGATCCTAATGCTGCCAAATGTATTTTCCTAGGGTATGCACAAAATAAAAAAGGGTATTGTTGCTATGAACCCTGTCTCGAGAACCAGATTTGTATCTATGGATGTCACCTTCTTTGAAGATGTCCCCTATTACCCTAGGGTTTCACCTCAGGGGGAGAGTGGTGAGCAGGGTGTGTTTGCTCAAGATGTTCCTTTGCCTATTCCTGCAAGTGGAGGGGAGTGAATTGAAGGGAGTTGTTCAAAAAGTGTAAAGAATTGAGGGTGTTTCACAGAAGATGGTGGCAGCAAGTTGGTTCTAGTAATGATCAGTTCAGGCCAATTCCTATCTCTTTTACGGCACCAGATTTAGGTATTGCCTCCTCCTTACCCCCTCCTACTACTGATGACATGCCCACTCCTACTACTGATGACATACCCTTTTCCACTACTGTGCCTTAGCCATCCGCAGATGATCTTGACCTTCCGATTGCAGTACATAAGGGGAAACGTCAATGTACCTCATTCTCTGCCCATTTTATTGCTCATTTCCTTTCTTATGATCACATTTCATCATCACATAAGTCCTTTTTAGCCTCCATTGCTGCCATTCCCATTCCTAGAACAGTTCAAGAGGCCCTTGTTGTCCTTGAGTGGAAGGAAGCAATGAAGGATGAGATGGATGCCCTTGTAAAGAATGCTACTTGGGAACTGGTTGATCAACTAAGAGAGAAGAAGCCTGTTGGGTGTAGGTGGATATTCACAGTGAAGTATAATGCTGATGGTACAGTTGAAAGATATAAAGCTAGACTGGTGGCTAAGGGATACACTTAAACTTATGGTATTGATTACTTGGAGACCTTTGCATCAGTTGCAAAAATGAATACCATCAGGGTTTTACTGTCTCTTGCTGCTAACTTCTCTTGGCCTCTATTTCAGATGGATGTTAAAAATGCATTTCTAAATGGTGACTTGCAGGAGGAGGTGTATATGGAGTTACCTCCTGATTTTTATGATGTAGGGATTGGTAAGAAAGTTTGCAAGTTGTAGAAAGCTTTGCATGGTCTAAAACAATATCCAAGGGCATGGTTTGATAGATTTAGACTTGCTTTGGAAAGATTTGGCTATGTTCAATCCAAATTTGACCACGCTCTATTCTTTAAGAAGAAAGGTGAGTTGAGGTATTTCCTTGGGATTGAAGTGGCAAGGTCCAAGCATGGCATTTTTGTTTCCCAGAGGAAGTATGTTTTTGATCTCTTGGAAGAGATAGGAAAACTGGGAGCTAAGCTTGCTGATACTCCCATTGAGAAAAATCATAAGATTAATACAGAGCATGGTGAGCCTTTGGAAGATAAAGGTATCTATCAACGGCTTGTAGGATGACTTCTCTACCTATGTCTAACTCACCCCGACATTTCTTATGCTGCCAATGTTGTTAGTCAGTACATGCACTCTCCCAAGACCTCACACCTCCTTGCTGTTGAGAGAATTTTAGCCTATTTGAAGAGATGTCCAGGCCGAGGTATACTTTTTAAAAATAATGGCCATATGAAGATTGAAGTATACACTAATGCAGATTGGGCATGTTGTATTGATGATAGGAGATCTACTTCTGGGTATTGTGCCTTTGTTGGAGGAAATTTAGTTTTATGGAGGAGCAAGAAACAAAATGTTGTTGCTCGGTTCAGTGCTGAAGCTGAATACAGGTCTATGGCTAATGGTGTTGCTGAAATATTATGGCTGAAGTCTCTCCTTACAGAATTGGGAATTGAGTCTGTAGGACCCTTGATGCTGTATTGTGATAATCAAGCGGCCATTAACATTGCTCACAACCCAATACAGCATGATAGAACCAAACATATTGAAGTTGACAGACATTTCATCTGAGAGAAAGTTGCCTCTCAAGAAGTGTGCCTTTCTTATGTTGCCACTAATATGCAGTTTGCCGATGTGGTGAATGCTTTTGATGACTGTTATCTTTGCATAGAATTCTTTTGGGTATCCTGTAGATCATCCCATGGAAACAAGGTCTATAGATCTTCCTTCTTGGTGTTTTGTTTCTGATTTTGCTTGTTTATGTTTGCAGGTAATTATAGATTTCAAACATAATTGGTTGTTATCGGGCCAGACCTGATTAACCCAATTGATAATTGGTCAATTTTGGGTCTGGTATTATAGACCCTATAGGGTCTAGTTCGGGACTGGGTCTACACAATATTCTTATTGCTTTAGGACGGGTCCACCATGTCCTGAACCAGACCCAACCGATTGACAGCTCTAAATCCAATACAACCAATGGCTTAAATAAGAAAAGATCCAATTATATCAAAGTTACATATAGGCCCATTTTCCTACCATCGATACATATTAAGTCACCAAAAGTTTATCAACGCTACAAATGTACCCCTATAACCTCCAACAGTATCATTTATTTGGCTATGATGTCCATTTTCTGTTTGTCTTTTATTCCTTTGCTTCTCATAAAATCTTGTATTATTGTAAAAAACTCAGCTTCTCCACTATTTTGAGACTTCATTTTCTGGTTACAGAATAGATGCTGAAACCTCAAGCCTGCAACAAAAGTTTGAAGAAAGGAGGGCATCCCGTTTGACTTCAACCGAAGCTCAAGTGAAGGAATCTGAAAAAACAGCTCTTGCAACTCTAGAGGTGAGGTGTATTTCATCAATCCAAATAAATATTACATTCAAGATGACATGGTCTTTTCAATCATTTATCAGAAAAAAAAAAGATGACTTGGTCTTTATGAGACATAATATTTGGTTTGCTTCCTCATACAGTGTCAAGCACCAATGCTAGGAAGATCTTTGACATAGTTGTGTCTTTAGATTATTTTTTGTGCTCGAGCATAAAATAAAATGTGCTTGGTTTGTAACAGGTTGTCTTGTAGTGGTTGCATTCTGGATGGAAATTGAAGATTTTTTTTTGACTGACTCTGTAAATTTCGTGTCAATTATGTTTTCTAGTGTTTCTCCTCCCAAACATCTATTACAAAACTGCAGTCAGGATGTATGGTGTGTTTGCAGTGAGGAGTTGTTTCCCCAAACCTGTTTTGGAATATGGTGCCTGCAGCTGTGTTTTGGGGTTATGGCAAGAGAGAATGCTCAGGTCTTCCAAAATAAGGCTAGTTCAGCTGACTCTGTTTTTCAGGAAATAGTAGGAAAGCTTCACTCTTGGATCGAAAGCTAAAATTTGTTTAAAGGAATGAGCTACACTTCATTTTTGTTGTTTGAACTCTTTTTGTAAACAGCCAAGGGCTGTTTTCTTAGTGCATTCTGGCAGTTTTCTGACATTTTTGTATGGTTTCCCATTTTACAGCCTCTAGTTGTACAACTTCCTCATATTTAATGAAAATTCTATACTTCCTAAAAAGCAGTTAGGATATTCAGGATCTTCGTACTGCAAGAATTAGAATCTTGGGGGTGCGCCCTGAAGCTATCCCTAGAGCCATGGAGTTGCAGGTGGATGGACTTTGGCACAGGGTTTGGATTGTGGCAGAAAGTAAAGCGTTGCTTTGGAGGAGTGACAAGGAGCCTGAGGAAGATGATGACGTGGCAAGTCGGCACCTAGGTGAAAGAAGAGGAGAGGAAGTTGGGGGAGCTTGAGAACAGGGGAGTGGGACTGACACTGAACGTTGGAAGTCTGTGAATGAGTCTCGTCTTCTCCAAAGCAGTTATGAGGAAGATGGAGAGGCAGTGCTGCGAGTAGATGGGTGGGGCGGGTGTTATTCATTGGGTTGTAGATTCAGGTTGGTTGGCCCAAAAGGAGAAAAGCTAAGAGCAATTAATGTAATCAAACAGCCTCCTTTGCACGTGACCCCTAAGGAGTCAAGTTTAATGGACAATAATTCTGGTCCTCTTCCCCTTCGAAGACTGATAGTGTCTCTCGTCTAATCCGTGGCAGATCAGAAAAGAAATTCTCTTGGGGCTGACAGGTCAAGGGAGGCAGAATGACGAGGAAGGATAAAGCCATGGTTTTGGGGGCAAAAAAGGTAACAGCTTTTAAACATAAAGATTTAAGAATCTTTGGTGGCCATGGCAAGAGGAAGGAGGAGTCTTGGGAGTGGGTGATTACGAAGTTCATGAGTTTGGAAGATTTGAATCATTCTAATGGTCAGAAGGTTGAAGCATGTTCAGAGAAGATAGCTCCCCAAGCTTTAGCATGGGATATTGAAGAGGCGGTCCACAAGAAAGAGCTATGGTTGAGGGATTAACTGTTCATGGTAAGAAAGATGTTGGAAGAATATCAAATGGGGTTGATCCTGGTGACGGAATGTTGGAAAGAATCGAAATGGAAGAAAATTTTGGTAAGGAAGAAAATACTAGAGAGGATATGTGTTTCATTGCCTCGAAGAATATGATTATCTCCTTTGATTTCAGCAGCAGGGTTCTGAACCAGGACATGGTTATTGAGTCAAAGGACGCTATTTCTAAGGAGTCTAAAGAGGCAGGTTTGACAACTTCGGTCTTCGTAAGTGTTAGAGTCGACAGTACAAGAATATGACTATCTCCTTCGATTTCAGCAGCAGGGTTCTGAACCAGGACGTGGTTAGTGAGTCAAGGGACGCTATTTCTAAGGAGTCTAAAGAGGCAGGTTTGACAACTTTGGTCTTCGTAGGTGTTAGAGTTGACAGTACAAGGGTATTTTGGTCATTTGTCTATCTAGTTGAGAGTGAATAGTCTGTTTTGTTTAAGTTAAAGTTATGTGTCCCATACTTAATGAGGGACAATACAGTCTTTTGTAATTCAGCATTATATACAATATAAATACAAGTGGGTTGGCTAAGAGAGAGAGTAACTTTTCTTCTATAGGCCAAACCCCTTTCTTCTTCTTACCTAGAACTAATCTAGGGCTAATCGATCTATTCACAGTAGGAAAGTTGGGGGTGGACTTAGGAAGGAGAAGAAGTGAAGGCGGGCGAAGGTGTCTAATTCCGAGAATCCCAATGCAGGGGAGCTGAGAAGATTAAGAGGATCCAGCAATGGGCAGCTTGTTCATGTTACTAAGATTTTCCATTGCCTCAATGAAGGATTGGTCAGGGATGGTCTTTGTTGTAGGTTCAAGAGGATATAGGAAGAAAGGAACTAAAGCTAGAGTTTCAAATTGTTTGAAAGATGGAGGAAATACAAACTGTTTTGTTTACACGAAGTGGCTGCTCTCAAACTTGAAACCACATATTCATGTTGTAGAGAAAATGGTTGATCAGCTTGTGGTCCCCACCTGCTCGTATGTTTCTTGTCTATAGTGCTGTTAGAAGACTGTTAGAATCTTTTTTTTTTTCTGTTGTTTCTAGTGACAGGAGCATTCCTGTCGTTGTACACTTGATGTGAAATCCTTATATTTTAAAATCATTTGGGGCGGCAGACTAAGCTAGCCGAACCCTCACATTCTTTTCTATTCTCTCTTCTCCTCTCTTCTCATCCTCTTCTCTTCCCTTTCTCCTCTTCATTTTCTGGTTTATTTTTCTTTACTAGACAGGTCTGAACTTCTTGTTTCAGACAACTTGGTATCAGAGCAGGCCTGAACCTGCCTTGATCTCCAATGACAACTTGGAGGTCATTGGAGATCGTAGAAGGTGCCCAAGATTCAAATCTCTTGGAGAGTGGTCCGGTGACCAGGAAGAATCGGAGAAAACAGGTTGGTTTCTGATTTAGAGCTTAAATCAGAGATTGAAAGTTGTGCCCAGAAATTTCTGGGTTGTTTTCATATTTTTCTGGACTGTCAAGTGGCTGAAATATCTCTGGTATCAGTACTGCTGGTTATTGTTTCCCTTGAACTGTTTTTAGACACCTGTATGGACTGTTCTCTGGGCTGTTTTTATTTTTGACAGTGTGGTCTCTTCTACTGCCCACTTTGTGTTTGTAAAAAGGTCTCTTCACCAATACAGACTGTTCTCTGTTTTTTTGGGTACTGTTTGGTCAGTACCTGGAATTTCTGCTTAGAAGAGGAGTTTGGGCAGTGCTGTACCCCTCATTCAGTGTTCATTTTTGGACCACTTCAGCATGGAAATGGCTGGAAATGAGAACAAACCAAATGGAGATGGATTTCTTGGAGCTGTAAGCTCTACTGATAACAGTTCATTTCAGATTACTACAGTCAAGTTTGATGGATCAAACTATTTGGAATGGGCCCAATCAGTTGTGATGGCCATTGGAGGGAGGGGAAAACTAGGGTATGCGACGGGAGACAAAGAAATCAGCACAGGAGGACCCTTCCCTTGCTAAATGGGTCCAAGAAAACTATATGGTTATGACTTGGTTATGCAATTCCATGCAATCTCATATCAGTAGAAACTATCTTTGGGCAAAGACAACTAAGGAGATTTGGGACAATATGAAGGAAACCTATTCTCAGCCCCTTAATGGTGCTAGAACCTCTGAACTGAAAATGGAGGTGAAGAACCTTAAATAGGGGAAGAAACCTGTGTCAGTCTATTTCTCCACCTTGAAATCATTGTGGTATGAGATTGATCATCTTGAGACTATTGAGTGGGAGAGCCAAAAGGATGCTGCTACATACAGGAAATTGGTTGAGAAAAATAGTGTTTGAATTCCTGGCAGGGCTGAACTCTGACTATGACATTGTAAGACAGCATCTTCTCACTAGAGACTGTGACTCTTTATCTCAAGCCTACTCTCTGGTACACAGTGAGGATAGTAGAAGGAAAGTTATGTTGCAGATCCCATATGTGGAATCAGCTTTAGCAGCTATAAAACCAAAGACTGGAGGTGATAAGGAGAGGGAGGTAAAGAAGGATGGAAAGAGATGTGTTTTGTGACTACTGTAAGAAGCCAAAACATACTAAGGACACTTGTTGGAAGCTTCATCCTCAGCTAATCCCAGAAAGACTTAGGAACAAAAAGGGAAATGTTAATGCAGCAATAACCACAGGAGCTTCATCCACAGTTGTGACCACAGGAGCTCCTTCCACTCCCAACACTAGATCTAGTTCTCTTGATGTATTGGCTGTTGTTAGGGCTGCTTTATCTCAGCTGGAGAGTGAAGTTGGTGGCTCTGGACAGTCTCATACTACTTCCACCTCTGCTTTTGCCCAATCAGGTACTAGGGCCTTTGCCTATCATTCCTCTACCCCAGGTGCATATGATCATATGACCAGTTTATCTTCATTATTTCACACCTATTGCTTGTCCTTTGGCAGAGACAAAATGTCTATTGCTGATGGCTCTCTTGTCCCTATTTTAGGCAAGGGAGACATCAATGTCTTTGATGCTATTTCCTTATCCTCAGTTCTGCATGCTCCTAAACTAAGCACTAATCTGCTTTCTTTCAGTAGTATAACTAAATAACAGAACTGTTCAGTAACATTTTTCCCTGATCATTGTGTTTTCTAGGATTTGGCTACAAGGAAGGTGATTGGGATTGGCTGTGAGACGAATGGGATTTACTTGCTTGAACATCCACCTGGGAAGAGGAAAGAAGATGATAAGTCTTTTGTGTCATAGTCTGTGAGTTAGATTATACTTTGGCATAATCGATTGGGGCATCTTTCTTTTGGATCTTTAAGGAGTCTTTTTCCTAATTTGTTTGAGTCAATCCAAGTGTCTAGTCTGAAGTGTGAGTGCTGTGAGTTGGCAAAGGATTGTAGATCAACTTATTCACAAAGTAATAAAAGAAGTTATGCTCTTTTT